CAACTTAGGGGCCAAACGACGAAAATGCTCCGTGAAGTTCCATCGGCTGTCGAGGACGAGACCCAGGTACTTCATCGCCGACTCGACGCCAATGGTAACTCCTCCTGCCGTTACTTGGGACCCACCTGGAGGTGGCGCGCTCCGACGGCCATAGAAGCACATGGCCTCGGACTTGTGGAGCGCCACCTCGAGTCCCAACTGCCGGATCCTTGCAACGACCGTCGCAACCGCTTGTGACATCAGGTCGGCCGCCGCCTGATGCGACCTCCCGTTCGCCAGCACCAGCGTGTCGTCAGCATAGCAGACAATGCTGACGCCGAAAACTGAAGTGTGTGAGGTTACTGGAGGCCTAATCCTTCCCTCTCCCTATCCTCAATTTCCAACTCCCCTATCCTGTAATCCTTTATGACCCAATAGAGGCCGGCAGCGCCCTTTTAGTAACTCCTTTGGTAAACTATTCTTTCCCACTTGCCGGATGACCTTGAAGATTTTTGCACTAACTCTGAAGGTAGAACAATTTCCGCAATCCATCAGTACAATACCATAGGCTGTTTATGATTTTTTTTCCATTACAAATACTGGTTAATAATCACTTAGGTTCACTATCCAATGACACGGACGCTGGTATCGTCATGAGCTAATGTTCACATGTAAACAGTGACTCATGTAGTGTAGAGATTGTCTACTGCTGTGCGTTGGACAGGTATTGTGTTGAGCAAGAGCGACCTACTTTTATTATTTCAAGTTAAGAATAAATAAAAACTGTCTTCTTCAACTGGTTAGCTTATAAAGTTTGTTTTCTCAAGTTATTTCTATCTAAGACAAAATTCTAACATCGTGTCATAGTTTCTGTGAATGAGCCGGTTTGATCAGATGAAAATGGCTTCATAGAAAACCGACGTGACTTAAAACTGACGTTGTGTTTCGCCGTTTAAGTGAGTTTACCGGAGGCCCAATCCCCCCCCCTATCCCTTCCCGATCCTTATATCCGCAACCCCTATCCCCAAAAGGCCGGCAACGCACTCGTAACGCCTTTGGTGTTGCGGGTGTCCATGGGCATTCACCGTCTGAGTCAGGTTATTCTTCTCTTCCCAGTCCCTAAATCTCCGTCGCAACTCAACTGGTGTTGCATATGCGTATTTCAGTCAGGTAATCCGTCTGCTCGTTTGGCGCCCTATCACACAAAAAGGAATGTTGGGATATCTGCTGTAACCCTAGGGAAAAAAAAGACTTATGTTTTCAAAACGTAAAATTCCTTTAAAACTTTTTAAGTAAACGATCGCTCTTTTCTAACCGTTCAATAGAAACGTCTCCATTTATAAGAATTATTTGTTCTAAGCCTCTCAATGGACCGAAGTCAATAATTCTATCAGATTGTATTAAAAACTTTTCCAAAAGTTTAAAATTCAATGAAGAGTTTATTCTTTTGTTCGAATGTGAAGTTATTGTACAAGATTCAATTTGATTTCGTCGAATTTTGAGAGTTTTAGAGCTTTGAGGTTGAAATACCTGGTTTCGAAGTATGGAAAATACTACTAAATGTAAGTTTTTATTTATCTACTAGGTATATTGACTTTACACGGGTGTAATGCTGATTAATCATTTATCCACTATTTAATGTATTTTATTATACTTATACCCGCCTTACCGCCTTTACCCGCGACTTTGTTCGCGTGGAATAGTGACTCTCTGCATATTTTTTGTTAAAAAAACTATCCTATGTCCTTTCTCGAGTTCCAAACTATGTCTGTACCAAATTTCACACAAATAGGCTCAATAGTTCAATAGTTTAGGCGTGAAGAAAAGACAGACAGAGTTACTTTCACATTTATAATATTAGTTTAAATGATATTCGACTAACAGGAATACTGATTCGAATTTGTCGATAGTCGATAATTTAAACGCGTGTCACATCACTAGAGCAGTCCAACGTCCGCTCTCTACATAATTAACACGCGTCTTCGTATTTAATAGATTTAATTGTTCTCAGAGGGTAGGTTCTATCTATAAAAAGAACTATTTCTTTGTACTACTAGCTTCGACCGCTTCCACTATCGATATCACTCACATCTTTTTCTTTTTTGTGAGAGGAAAATCATCAAATGACTTTGAGGCGCGCGCGGAACGCTACGCGCCGTACGCTCGGGTGGTTCTGGTCAGGCGGCGAGCTGCCCTTGCTCGCCGACCGCAGGCCTGTGCTTACGGTGGCCGGAGATCGTCCCTTGATCCCCGACGCCCGTAGTGTCGCCAGTTGCGGCTGCTGGGGCGTGAGGAGGAGACTCACATCAACTTAGAATCCTGAATTAACCTTTCAGCTGTAGTCATTCGAGACACAATAGAAGAACAATAAGTGCGGGCACGCCGGCGTTCGCTTGGGGTTTGGTGAATTTAATCCAAGAAGCGTTTTTTTTCTATTATATCTTTTCTTTTTTATTTAAAACTTTGCTCCTCACTAGGATTTTGCTCCTGTGTCGTGGGTGCGTTTCATAACACACAATTTAATGTCATACAATTTCACATACACATCACACCCAGACCCGAAACAACAATCTGTAATTTACACGAAGAGTTGTCTCGTGCGGGAATCGAACCCACGGCAGGTTGGGCGGCAGCTAGTTGCCCAGCCACCGCGTCAACCGTGCAGTCAAATCTAAAAGATAACACAGAATAAACGACATGGAAAAAACCGCAAAGTTGTGTTTCGCCGTGTGAGTGAGGTTTCCGGAGGCCCAACCTTTCTCCTCACCAAATGCTTCGCCAATACCCAAAATCACTGAAACCCTAATCGCCAAAAGACCAGTAACGCACTCGTTACTCTTCTGGACTTGCAGGCATTTATAGATGGGGCTGACTGCTTACCATCAGGTAATCCTAAAGATCGTATGCCACCCTATCACGTAAAATAATTTAAAAGAGTAAATAGTGATTTGGGTTTTGAGGAATTCGCGGTTTGCCACTTAGTATGGAGGATTGAGGGTCTGGAACCTCACCCACAAGGTGAAATTTATCGCTGTGGTTGTTTCACGTCATTGTGAGGTCATATTGTCTATTCCCTAAATCCCCAATATCCCTTATCCCCAAAAAGCCAGCAATGTACTCGTAACTCCTCTGTTGTTGCTGGTGTCCATGGGCGGCACCGATTGCTTACCATCAGGTAATCCGTCTGCTTGTAAGCATACTATGACATAAAACAAAAAAAAAACACAGACGGAGTCGCAAGACAATGCTCGTACACTGTAAAATAATCCAACCAGCAAGGTACGTTTATTGCAGAAAATGCAAATAACTTTAATATTTACAACGCATATTGTAAGTGCCTTAAAATTTATAAAAGCGAGCGTGGTATCATAATGGCTGTAAGGTGGCAATGGGTTTCGATAAATTGCAGGATAAGTCTCGTTTTAAATACTGTTATGTATGAGGTGAATTTATTTAATACTGACTCTTGGCAAGCACGGGTCTCAAATAACTCTTTCGTGTTTGCCAAGCAATGGGTTATCGGGTTTTGACTTTCGATAGAATAAAGTAGGTAAATGTGGGAAAGTCATGCCCCTTGCACGAATATGTCTCCGGCTTGACCCGGTAGTGATACCACGGCCTCACAGAAAACCGTGAAACAACCACAGCCTTGTGCGTTTGCCGTGTGAGTGAGGTTACGATAGGCCCAATCTTTCGGGATCGGGAGACAGCCCCAATCCTTAAATCTCCAAATCCCTAATCAGAAAAAAGGTCGGCAAAGCATTCGTAGCTACTATGTTGTTGAGAGTATCCAAGAGCGGCGCTGATTACTAACCATCAGATAACCCGACAAATGGTTTGTAGTCCGGTCACATAAAAAAAATTTTTGCTATAGAAAATTTTTCTAAGGCAAATGTGCCTAATTTGCGGCCCGACTCAACCCAATATTACAAATAGGGACTGCATTTCCTATCTAAAATCCATGCAAGTTCATTCTGTGTGTTCATTCTAATCAACAACAAAGAAATAATACATATATCAAACAGGACTATCCTACGTTCTTTAAAACCATACTCACCATACTCCAGGGGTAGGCTTATTCCGGTACGGGTGTTTCCATAACGATTACCATCCCGCGCTATATAATTCAGAGGTGTCGGTATCCGACCAATTTTAACTAGAATCGGGGAGGATTCAAGCTTGTTACTTAAATATATATATATATATATATTTTTTTTGAGAGTGGTTAACTTAGAGAAGTCTAATGATCTATGTGGGGTGAAAGAGAGTGTTAGATTAGGGGAAAATCATCAAATCCCTTTAGCCTGTCCCTGGGTGGGATAGGAGGGAGTGCCAGACTCTTACGGCCTTATTAAAAAATAAGGTTATTCTTTAGTCTAGGTCTAGACCATTGAGTCAGTTTTTGTATTTTAAATTGAAAGTGGGTGAGAAAAAGATTCAAAATTCAAAACCTGACTCAGTCTAAAAGTAAACTAAAGATAAATCTTGGGCAAATATTATGACTAGCTTTTACCCGCAACTTTGTTCGCGTGGATTAGTGACTTCTGAGTTTTTCTTTAAAATACGTTGCCCTACTCTAGGGCGTTTACATGTGTTATGGATGTGTGTTACAACTATTAAAATTCACATTTACACCAGAAACCACAAGTTATGCATCACACAAAGTGTTGTTCCGTGCGAGAATCGAAACCGCGACATGTTGCACGGCATCCAGTTTAACCAGTAACTGCGCCAACCGTTGAAGGCATTCGAAGTTGTTTTTTTTTTGCAACCCGCATTTTATGTACTTACAAAAATATTGCCTTCACACAGAATCAGGCAAAGAATTCCACTTCTTAAGGTTTCTGATGAAAAAAGTCATTCGTCACGTTGACGAAGTGACATTTCATCACAGGTTATTAATATTTTTTATTGAAAAAATTTACACACTCCTTCACCTGCCCAGGGATCGAGGATACCCCGGTGCTCCGTTTCGCTCTAAACTTAAATCCACTTCAAGCACTCTCTATCTTCTTCCCCAGGTGTCCGGGTGGGTCACAGAGCTGGTGCTATCCCATTCATCGCTGGAGGACAGGAAAGCGGCCCTCGCTTGCGTCCTCCGAGTTGCCCTGACCTGTTGGAACATCGGAAACTTTAACGGAGCCATGGAGATCGTCGCGGGGTTGAAGTAAGTTCATTTTTAACCATTTATTATGCATTTTTTTATTGGAGAGACAGAGACAGTGACAAAATGGAATATTAGTCCGTCAGTCTATTCGTCAGCGAAGCTTTTTTTGTCAGGGGAAAATCGTCTAATGATTTCTGCCGCCCAGGCTAAGGCGAGAGAGAGTTTCAGACTCTTACTGACTGAAAACCCCCCCCGTTCCTTCTTCTGCTCTGGGCCGCGGTGCCTGATTGCGCTTACCCTGCAACCCCGGCTGAACATCAGCCCTATAGGGCCCTGTCTGTGGTGATCTATTGGCACTTTGAGGTGCGCGCGCTTCGCGCCGTAGGTATTCGTCAGTGAAGCTAGGGTAGTCATTCAAAGTTTTCCCAATTGGAACTTTCCTACCTTCTTGAAAACCATACTCACCATACTTCAGGGGTAAGCTTATTCTGGTACGGGTGTTTCCATAACAATTACTATTTCGCTTCATAATTCAAAGGTGTACGACCAGATAAAAACCCATGACACCAGAGAGGTGTTATAAGTGCGTTGCAGGGCTTTTGATGGAAGTTCACGCAACCTCTGTACAAACGTGGACAGGCCTTGCTTCGGCTCGACCGGAATGATACCACGGCCTCACAGAAAACCGGCGAGAAACTATCAAAGCGTTGTGTTTCGCCGTGTGAGTGAAATTACTGGAGGCCCAAGCCATCCCTTCTAGTTCCCTTACAAATCCCTAAATCAACATAACAGCTTTCTCCAAAAGGCTAGTAACGCCTTTCTGAAGTTTGTTTTTTCTGCCGAAGAAGAATGTGAAATAAAAGAAGTCAGATGATTTATTTTCTAGTTATCATTATTGCGTAAGTATTTGTATGAAAAATTGATCCTGGAAATTACTTTCCCACCAGAAGAAGAAGAGTCTTTAAAGAAGACAGAAGAATAAGTACAGTTGGCAGGGGTTTCTTTCGGCCTTCAGCTGTTACATAGACTGTAGGCCGGCGGAAACTACTTGCTGGCTTTACTTCTAAACAACTCTTGTGGAAGAATAGAAAAGAAGATTGAAGAAGAGAAGAGAAAAGAGGATTTATCAGTTTTATTCCGTTTATTTAAGATTTTTTTTTGCTTGTTTTTCTTTTATTTAAATGGTCGTCTGAATATCAGAGGAATTAGCTGATGGTAAGCAATCAGAGACTCCTAGGACATCCGCAACACCGGAGTCACGAGTGCGTTGTCGCCACTTTGGGTATTAGGGATGTGGATATTTAGGGATTGGATTACCTGATGGTAAGCAATCAGCTCTAATCATGCACACCCGCAACAACGGAGGAGTTACGAGTGCGGTTAAAACCTTCTGGAGATTAGGGATTTGGAGATTTTGGGATTGGGAAGGGAAGAGAAGGCAAAAAGGATTGGTCATCCGGTAATCCCATTCACACAATGAAACACAACGCTGTAGTTGTTTTACGCCACTTTTCTGTAAAGCCGTGGTATCACTCCGGTCGAGCTGGCCCATTCGTGCCGTAGCATGGCTCTCCTACATTTAATATTAGGTCGCTCCCTAATTCCGGCCATATACGATGGACCTGCCCTAACTGTGGCACGAATCTGTCAGTCTTTATTTGTTACAACCCTCAGAGCCTTTGTTCGGCCAAAGTATCATTTGGGAGCTTCCCTAATTTAATAAAACTTGTTGCTCGTTCGTTGAGAAATTCTATATAACGAATGGATTGATATTGGGTTCAATATCTTTTTTTATGTAGTAGATCGGCAAACGAGCAGACGGATTACCTGATGGTAAGCAATCGGCGCCGCTCATGGACACCCGCAACACCAAAGGAGTTCGAGTGCGTTGCCGGCCTTTTGGGGGTAGGGGTTGCGGATATAAGGATCGGAAAGGGATTGGAGAAGGGGTGGGATTGGGCCTCCGGTAACCTTACTCATACGACGAAACACAACATTGTGGTTGTTTTACGCCAGTATTCTGTGAGGCCGTGGTGTCACTCCGGTCGAGCCGACCCATTCGTGCCGATGATTGGCTATCCCACACTCTGGTCTGAAGTAAAGAATTTAATTTTATAACCATTTGGTTTTGTACTAAGCTTTTTAAAGGTATAAGTATGCTGTTTGACGTAGATACATTATGACATCATATTTCATTTTCACTTTTCGATCTAACAAAATTCATAGAAAAGTATCGTACCTATTTGATATTTCAATAAAACTAGTTGAAAACTACCGAATTGTTTCTGTCGGGAATTAAACCCTTGATACTTTAGACGGCAGCTCTTGTCTACTTACTTCACATACACTTACTTGATTTGTATAATATAGGTACTCCGTTCAAAGTAATTTTAAGCAGTTAGTAGTTCACGCTACGATCAAATGGAGCCGGAACGGAAACCGCACCAGAGTAGCTAGTGTATAATAATATCTTTTAAATAGTGAAAAAATTTAGTACCTACCAACATTGCAACCGTGCGAAGCCAGTGCGGGTCGCTAGTGTAGATAAATATCTACATTAAGCTAATCCAATATGTAGCACGTCCGTCTGCCTAACATCCTGCTGAAAATGCCCGAAAACCTCTTAACTGTATTTAAACGCAACCTTTTTTAACCGCCCCGGAAAGGGCCTTAATGAGAATTCTTAATTTTTTATGCTTTTATACTACCTTCTCATGCCCGAGCGTACGGCACGTAGCGTTCCGCGCGCGCCTCAAAGAGCCAATAGACCACCACAGACGGGGCCCTATAGGGCTGATGTTCAGCCGGGGTTGCGGGGTCAGCGCAATGACGCACCGCGACCTCGGCCCTGAGCAGGAGAAGGAACAGGGGAGTTTTTAGTCAGTAAGAGTCGGACTCTCTCTCTCGCCTTACCCAAAGTGCGGAAAAGTCATTTGTCAATTTTTCCCTCTCAAAACAAAAGACTAATATCCAGTAACAATACTCTATACAACCTAACCTTTTCACCGACCAATTTAGTCTTTATAAAGCCTTTTATTTTACAACATACAGGCTTTGTCATGTTAGAAATACGATATTGGCTGAAATTGGAGGATTTGGGATTTGATACAGTTATACCATTCATATAGTTATGTTTGTATGTAGTTAGTTATGATAGTAAAGGAAATATTTCTTACTAGCTTTTGCCCGTGACCTCGATCGCGTGGAATAGTGACTTCCTGCAGATTTTGGTTTAAAAACTATCCTAAGTATGTCCTTTCTCGAGTCCCAAACAATGTCTGTACCAAATTTCAAAGAAATCGGTTCAGTAGTTTAGGCGTGAAGAAAAGACAGACAAACAGAGTCTTGATTGTTTAGTTTGTTTAATTTTATTAGAATTTCCAACAAAGAATATAATTACACGCTATTTTAAAATAATACATATTTATCAAAGTAAATTTATTCCTTGAAATATCTATCCAAACTAATATTATAAATGCGAAATTGACTCTGTCTGTCTGTCTGTTCTTTACGCCTAAAGTACTGAACCGATTTCTGTGATATTTGGTACAGACATAGTTTGGAACTCGAGAAAGGACATAGCATAGTTTTTATGCCAAAAATCTGCAGGTAGTCACTACTCCAAGCAGACGGAGTGTCGGGTAAAAGCTAGTCTATCATATAACATATAAACCCCATCATGCAATTAATAATAAAATTGACAAAGTGCACTTAAAATTGTAAATCACATTAGCAATTTTTTTGTCGTGTGAGTGAGGTCACCGAAGATCACAAACGGGAAAAGATGAATTTTCTTTAAAAAAGTTAACATTTTGACTTAAACTTAAAATCATAAGTATCGACTTGTTTTAACCGGGAATCGAAGCCCAATACTTAACACACTACACCAATACAACTACAAAATGGCAATGCCAAGGGCGCTATTAAAAAAACCACAAGCCACACAAAACTGAACCCTAAACACCGACATTGGCAGTCGAAATTTGATTAACAACAAAAATCAAGTACAAGAAACGACTTAACTCACAACTTTGTCCAAAGAAAATTGCACCTTGTTTTGTCTTGTTTAAGGTTGTTAATGTATGTTTGACTTTAATAAGGTTTGTTGTGGAAATTTATTAGTTAATATACAGAGTGCCCTTTCTTTAGTGTGACCATGAATAAAGTTGTTAAGGCACATATGAGGGACTGAATGAAGAAAATGTCTGTTGTATAGTTTTTTTTTTACAAGAAAAAAAACTATATCAACTTCATAATGTAACCAAGTATGAGACTGTGAAACTGATTGAAAAAGAGTAACCATGGAGTTTCTTGCTCGTTCTTCTCCATCGGAATCTACACTTTGGAACGAGCAAATAGCTTCACTAAGAGGACAGACGGACAAACTGACAAACAAAGTTGAACTTTTTGATAATTTTTTTTTTTTTACTTTCAAAAGTACCTATTTAAAACTTTGACTTTGGTGAAGCGATCGAAACCACTAGCAGAGACTTGTTTGTAAATATATTGTTTCAGGAAAAACCGTAGAGAAACACGTGTCAGAGTTTGCGACCGATTTTTGTCTCCCATTAACCGTCTCGGGGATCATTGACGCCCCCCTGGGGTGCACTTAGCGTCTACCACGGAGTCGTACAACTTTATTACCTAACCTTACTAGGGAAAAACATTCTGATTTTTTGGCTAAATTGTGATTGGATTAACATGTTTTTTTGGGGAACAGTTTTGTTTCGCAAAATTTTACCTACTTAAGTACTTGTTTTTTTTTTCTTTTTCGTTTACATAGGTAAGATTGTATCCGTGGGTCCACATTATCACATAAAATTTTATATGTCAACATAATGTAAGATAACATTTTTATCCGCGCCCTATTCATTATATGTATATAAAAATCAATGTCACTTTTCATTGATTTTTATATAGGTACATATAGTTTGAGGCAAATCACGACTCAACAATGCCTTCACCGATTTGGCTCATTCGTCTTGAATCATTCGTGGGAGTCCAGGGAAGGTTTAAAAGGACAAAATAAATAGTTATATTTGAGGTGGTACGGAGTTCGCCGTAAGCGTAGCTCGCCGTCCGACCAGAACCAGACCCGAGCGTACGGCGCGAATCGTTCCGCGCGCGCCTCAAAAAAACAGGAAACCACCACAGACGGCGCACCCTATAAGGCTGAAATGTTCAGCCAGGGTTGCGGGGTAAGCGCAATGAGTCACCGCGGCCTCGGTCCAGAGCAGGAGAAGGAGCGGGGGGTTTTTAGTCAGTAAGAGTATGACGTTCTCTCTCGCCTAGCTCTGGGCGGGAAAAGTCATTTGATGATTTTCCCCTGACAAAAAAAAACAATACCCTATAAATAATAGTTAGGAGGTTTTAAAAGGGAACAGTTTTTCTTATAACCAATATGTATTTTGTTTTTCTACGTTATTGGTCGGCAAACGAGCAGACGGATTACCTGATGGTAAGCAATTAGCGCCGCCCATGAACACCCGCAACACTAAAGGAATTACAAGTGCGTTGCCGGCCTTTTAGGGATAAGGGTTTCAGTTATTTAAGGATTGGGAAGGGATTGGGGGGGGGGGGGTGATTAGGCCTCCGGTAACCTCACTCACACGGCGAAACACAACGCTGTGCTTGTTTCACGCCGGTTTTCTGTGAGGCCGTGGTATCTCTCCGGTCGAGCCGATCCATTCGTGCCGAAGCTTGACTCTCCCACACTTGATCCCCTATGACATAAATTTATATATATGTATATCTCTATGAGCACAAGGCCACAAACAAAGTTTAGAGCGATTAACTTCAAAAGAGCTCAGAAAAAGATTCCCTTTACAAAGAGAAGGATATCCGAGATACTACTCAAAGACGAACAAATACTTTTACATTCAATATAATATATACGGTAGCTTCCTTGCTTCGCCAAATAGCTTTAAAAATGTCCGAAATTACTTTCCTTTTATTTATTTTTTAAAGAACGTTGCCCCACACTAGGATTTTCTCCTGTGTCGTGGGTGCGGTTACAAACATACAATTTCACATGCACTGTGCACGCCAGACCCGGAACAACAATTTGTGGATCACACAAAGAGTTGTTCCGTGCGGGAATCGAACCCGCGACACGTTGCACGGCAGCCAGTTGCCCAGCCACCGCACCAACCGTGTAGTCTTTCCGTAAAGTTCTTTTCTTAATATAAAACGGTTTTTTATTTATTATTTACAGAGTCAGTTTCATATTTTCTATTTGTTCTTGAGCTAATATCCGCCAGAATTACTTTTAATTAACTGGATTGTTGACGCGGGGCTTGGGAACAATGTTTTGAATTGTCAACAAATTGTTCTGGGTCTGGATGTGATGTGCATGTCAAATTGTATGTTTGTAAACGCACCCACGACACAGGAGAAAAATCTAGTGTGAGGCAACGTTTAAAAAAACAATTTCTATTCGTTTTTGAGCAAACATTTGCCAGAATGACTTGAAATTAACTACCCCAACTCAATAAATTTCCAAAACCCTGATCCCTAAAATTGTGTCCATGGGCGGCGCTGATTGCTTACCATCAGGTAATCCGTCTGCTCGTTGGACAATTTATCACATAAAAAAAACTAAAGGCCACAAAAACTCCAAGCGCCACCACGACTCAGCCTCAGTTAATGAAAACAAACAAACAAACTCCTCAGCTTTAAGATATTGTATTATAGATACAAAAGACTTGTATAACAAATTTTGCCTGGCCACTGTTGATATTAGCTGTAATTAATGAAATAGGATTAACTTGGTCGAGCTTAACTTTCTAATTCGTGCAACTAATGATAAAGTGAGATTAACAGAAGAAAAAAAACATAAGAATATCGTATTTTTTTTATGGATTAGGTCGACAAACGAGCAGACGGATTGCCTGGTGGTAAGCAATCAGCGCCGCCCATGGACACCCGGAAAGAGTTTATGAGTGAATTGCCGACCTTTTAGGGATTAGGCATTTGGAGATTTGGGGATTGAGGAAGGATTGGGCTTCCGGTAACCTCACTCACACGGCGAAACACAACGCTGTGGTTGTTTCACGCCGATTTCTGCAATATCACTCCGGGCCCACCCATTTGTGCCGAAGCATGGCTCTCCCACACTTAAATATTTCCACACGTATTTTTGGAACGAAGTTTCTTAGCGCTCGTTGCGAAAGGGAGCTTGATGGATTTGTGAATCATAAAAAAAATTTTTCGTGCGGGAATCGAAGCCGTGACATGTTGCTACAGCTAGGTAGCACAGCCAACTGTGCAGTTAGCTGATTTTTTTTATCTATACTCATATTATAAAGAGGTAAAATTTGTAAGTTTGTATGTAGGGGGTAATCTTTGGAACCGCTGGTCGGATTGCCAAAATTCTTTCACTGATAGATAGCTACAATGTTTCCGAGTGCTATAGGCTATAAAATATCACGCTACGATCAAATGGAGCCGAGCAGCGGGGAAAACCGCATGAGAGTGGGTAGTACATGATAAATAATAAAAGAAAAAAAATCACACACAATCACTTTATCTTTAAAAAAACGCATCAAAATCCATTGCGCAGTTTTAAAGATTTAAGCATACATAAGTATATAGGGACAGAGAAAGTGACTGTGTTTTATTCTACGTAGTGATATGTCCAGGTTTCTTCACGATGTTTTCCTTCACCGTATCTCAGTGGTGTCTAAATAATCATAGAAAGTAGTCTATAACTCTGAAAGTCACATGAGTACCTACCGAAGTCTCATGAGAAGCGGGCCTTAACCTCCAGCCACGCCTTAGCACTCCAGCTTAAGTGTGGGAGAGCCATGCTTCGGCACGAATGGGTCGACTCGACCAGAGTGACACCACGGCCTCACAGAAAACCGGCGTGAAACAACCACAGCGTTGTGTTTCAACGTGTGAGTGTGATTACCGGAGGCCCAACCCCTTATCCTTCCCAGTCCCAAAATCTCCAAATCCCCAAAAGGTTTTAACCGCACTCGTAACTCCTCTGTTGTTTCGGATGTCCATGGGCGGCACTGATTGCTTACCATCAGGTAATCTGTCTGCTCGTCGCCGATCTATAACACAAAAAAGCCGCGTTTATTGCCATATTTTAGTTATTTCTCTTTCATTTATTTTTGACAAAATTATTTCGTACCCTTTATATCCTCTCTGTCTGTGACTGCCATCCGGAATCATAAGTGATATGAAGACCTCAGAGGTCCTTTATTTAGAGGGTCACAGGTTTCGTATATTTATAAACGGTGACAGTTGGGACCCCATCTCTTTTACTATTTGTAATAAGATAATTTTTCTTGACTTTGATTCTAATTTTGTGTGATTTTTTTGTTTTGTTCACTCTCACGCGGGCCGCCTCTCTCTTTGCGAGCATGACTGCTTCACAAAAGGAGGAGACGGCGTCCCAGTTCCTCTCACTCCGCACCATGGCCTCGACTAAGGCCGGGCGCGAGAGGTCGCCGCCGCCGATCACTTCCCTGAGGATACGGCGGTGCTCAGCCCAGGCAGGGCATACCGCTACCGTATGCTCCACCGTATCCTCTAGGTGGTCCTCACAATGACGACACTCGGGCGTTTCCTCCCGCTGAATCCGAAACAGGAACCTACCGAAGCTGCCGCGCCCGGTAAGCACCTGCGTCAGACGGAAGGTGAGGACGCCGTGGCGTCTCTCAATCCACTCCTCAAAGAGGGGTCTTACCGCTGCTATGGTAGCGTGCCCGGCCCTCGGTTGCGACAGTCGTTGTCTCCACTCTGCCATGAGATCTCGCCGGAGCTCATTCCGCCACGCACTTATTTGGCGCGGCAGAGGATCTTCGCCCCGGCGACGCGCGTCTGCGCGCAAACTGTAGACGCGCGCGAGCGCCTTCGCTTCTAGATCCCACGGCGGTGATCCGGCAAGGAGGTTCGCCGCCTCCCCGGAGATCGTGCGATACCCGCGGATTACTCGTATAGCATTTGGGGGGTTAGGGGAAGGATTGGACCTTTGGTAAGCTCATTCGTGACGAAACACAATGCTGTGGTTGTTTCACGTCGGTTTTCTGTGAGGCCGTAGTATAACTCCGGTCGAGCCGACCCATTCGTGCCGAAGCATGGCTCTCCCACACTTGAGTCTAGACTAGTCACCAGAACGCTCATTTGTGTTGATTTTTAAAGGGACTGGGCTTTCAGTTAGTTTCATCTGAGAGTCAGATAGGAAAGAAAGAAAGAAAATGCGTTTATTCGGCATCAGACATGAAAGCCAGAACAAAACAAAAATACAACACAAAAAAAAAACAATAAAAAGGTAAAAAGCCAGAAAAACAAAAATACGCTAAATATTACATACAACAGGGCTGGCAGACAAGCCTAATCCGAATAGGTCGCTAACTCAGCAAAAGCTGGGCACATTGAGCACCCAGCACTGATTTTCAGTGGGCACTCCTACAGTGATGCACGGATGGTAGCAACGTTTTATGGCTAGACAAAGAGAAAATATATATATATATATATATATATATATACTAGCGGCCCGCCCCTGCTTCGCACGCGTCTCCCACTATCTCGCTTACGACCAAAGTGTCCCTATTTCTCAGATCTCCCCTAAACTTTTCTAGAATTTTCTTTCATAGGAACCTTCTCCTGACCATAACAAACACACCAAAAAAAGAATTGGCAAAATTGGTCCATGCGTTGTTGAGTTATGCGCTTACCAATACATTTTGCGATTCATTTTTATAAGTATAGATATATTTGTATGTATAACAAGTATATAGATACAACAATGGAGTATGGTTCACAAAAATAAATACATTGTTTCACTTCTAAACGCTGGAGTTTCATGAGAGGAGAGCCATGCTTCGGCACGAATGGGTCGGCTCGACCGGAGTGATACCACCGCCTCACAGAAAACCGGCGTGAAATAACCACAGCGTTGTGTTTCGCCGTGTGAGTGAGGTTACCGGAGGCCCAATCCTTCCCCTCTCCCAATCCCTAGATCTCCAAATCCCTAATCCCTAAAAGGTCGGCAACGCACTCTTAGCTCCTCCGTTGCGAGTGTCCATGGGCGACGCTGATTGCTTACCATCAGGTAATCCGTCTGCTCGTTTGCCGACAAATTAAATAAATAAAAAAAAAAAGTTTACGAGTAATTCTAAAATACACACCTTGAGTCGGAAAAATCTACAAACAACTAAACGGTAACGCAAGCTCTTTCAGAGTGCGAAACCTTGTATTTTCAGTTCACTCGCCATACTAAAAAGCCGGGTATACAATTACAAAGAAAAAAAAGGGGATACCAAGACAAACTCGCTCTTGACCTTTTTTCCGAAATACGATTCTTTTACACTACACTTTCTGATATTGTTGCGCGAGAATAGTGTTGTGAAGGAGTAGTTATCGATACATTTGATTTTACCTGGGTGTCTTCAAGGCTCCAGTGAATACTCGTAGTTTGATTATGGGTAGGCGTACTCCATCGTAGGTCGCATCACCGCTTACCACCAGGCAAATAGTGAAATAAAAAAGATTTTTTTCGATAAAACTATATCATAGATATAAGATATATAGTAGAATTGCATTCTCGATCGAGTTGTCGGAAGTATGCTAAACGGCAAGAAGTCCCAAACCCGAACAAAAAATTTCGAAAAATTGTGTGTAAAATGTTTTTTTCGAATTAAATGTATCTTCTGATTTTAATTATGCACCACTGGACTGCTTGACAGTGATGGAAAACATCATGAAGAAACCTTTCTAATAATAAGTTTAAAATCGTCAATCCGTCTTGAGCAAGTGTGGTGATAAATGCTCAAACCTCCGTGTATCGATACACCATCTATCGACAGTCCCCCAGCACTGATTACAGCGGTGATTGATTGAGGATCGGGGTTCGAAAACATTAATACAACGACAACCAGCTCAGGCCTTCGAATCACAAATTGATTTCATTTATTTAGCAATTTTGCTCCGAGAACAGAATTTTCGTCAGATATTATATACAGATTTAGATACTGGCTTTTACCCCTTTTTGGGATAGGGTAAAAAGGAGGTTTTAAGTGTGGGAGAGAAATGCTTCGGAAGTATTCGGAACAAATGGTCGGCTCGAATGAAGCGATACCACGGCTTCACAGAAAACCGGTGTGAAACACTCATAGCGTTGTGTTTCGCTGTTTGAGTGAGGTTAACGGAGGCTCAACCCTTCATGATGGATCAGGATGTTCATTCCTGCCTTCCCCATGACCAATAAATAATGAAAAAAAGAAAGAAAGAAATAATTTTATTTGCACAACCTGGACACAGATACAAAAGTAGATAAAAAAAACCAGTAAAAATTAATCAAAACAAAAATAATAAAAAAAAGTACAGTGATGTAGATCTAATGCTTAATCTCGACACCTCCAAATATTCAAATTTCATATCAAACTCTCAAATGACAGTCAGCTCATATTGTCTTGGGCACCGATTGCTCACCATCAGGTAATCCGTCAGCTCGCTTGCAGTGCCAGGCCTTTTGGGAAGGAATGGAAATTTAAATTAGTATATACCATCTACATACCTACCTAAATTAGTATATACATATACCTCTATACTACCTCGGGTTTGGGTGGCAGGGCAAGCGAAAAAAGGTACCGTGGCCTCGACCTGCACGTCGATTCTATAAAATTTGTTTGATTTTGAATCTTGTTCGAGTCCGAAGTGAGCGTCGAAGTGACGAGGAAATAAAATTTTAGAATGTCACTTTTGACGTCATCTCATACTTTATCTATCAAAATGTTGCTGTCAATTTAGTTCAACTCGCAAGTGTAGCGCTAGTGTCCTACTACTCACGGCGGATTCAGATTCCAAATTTAGAATGAAGTCTTACAGAATCACACTACTGTAACAGGAGAAGGAACGGGATGGATTTGATTGTAAAACAAATAATATTTTTTAAAAATAGCAACGATGGAGTTTCTTGCTCGTTCTTCTCCATTCGAAACTACAATTTGGAACGAGCACCTAGCTTCACTGACGAACAGACTGACAGACTACTATTCTATTGACGTTTCAAAAGTACCTATTTATGGTTTAGTTGGAGTAAATTATTTTGATTTGATTTGATTTAGTCACTAAGAGTCTGACTCTCCCTCTTACTTAAGGCTATCTCACTCGCTTGTCTGTAGGAACGTGGTATCATTCTTTTATCTGTCTCTGAAGCATGGCTTTCCCACTCTATTTTGTATAATACTTGTCCCCAGAATCAAACAAGGTTTTCACACTTGCAACCATTTAAATAACATAATACTTTTTTTATGTGATAGGTCGGCAAACGAGCAGACGGATTACCTGATGGTAAGCAATCAACGCCGCCCATGGACACCCGCAACGGAGGAGTTACGAGTGCGTTGCCGACCTTTTAGGGATTAGGGATTGAGGAGGGATTGGGGGAGGGGAAGGATTGGGCCTCCGGTAACCTCACTCACAGGGCGAAACACAACGCTGTGGTTGTTTCACGCCGGTTTTCTGTGAGGCCGTGGTATCACTCCGGCCGAGCCGACCCATTCGTGCCAAAGCATGGCTCTCCCACACTTAAAGGTCGATCAACATTAATCGCATTGACAGTGAAAGGTTTAATAAGAAAATGTAATATTCTGAATAACATTAAAATAAAAGACATCTTCGAAAGATTTAATACACCATTCTATTATAAATCTAATAACTGATAGAATAGAGTAGCATTTTCAATAACAGTTAAAACTGTAATATGGAGCCGATGAAATATAAACCTTAATTGTTTGAAGACAAGATTAATTTTCTATTGAAAATAATTAAGTTAGCATCCTTCAATGGAATTATTATAGACTAGCTGTGATAAGCGGTTTCACTCGCATAGTTTATAATCTTTGTTCCTGTAGTGTGGCTTCCCAGTAGATATTTTTTTTTTCAAATGTGGTCAAGTAGTTTCAGAGCCTAGTAAATTCAAACAAACAAACAATGAAGTCTTTTATCTTTCTATATTATGAATAATAAATATAAGTGCGCTATGTATATTTTCTATGTTTTAATTTTTATTAGAATATCAAATTACTTCTCCCACCCAGTAGTGTCAGACTCTTACTGACTTAACCCCCCCCCCCTCCTTCTCCTGCTCTAGGCCGAGGCCGCGGGGACTCATTATGCTTCTCCAACAACACCGGCTGAACATCAGCCGTATAGTGCCCCGTCTGTGGTGGTCTATTGGGTCTTTGAGGCGTGCGCGGAACGCTACGCGCCGTACGCTCGGGTCTGGTTATGGTCGGGCGGCGAGCTGACCTTACTCATCCTCTCGTCCAAAGATATTCGCACGACTAGAGGAGTTGCAAGCACTTTGCTGGTATTATGGGGATTTAAAAATTTAAGAAGGATAGGGGAACAAGAATTGAACCTCCAGCAACCTCACTGACACGGCGAAACACAACGCTAACTAAAATCCAGTCCTCGTTTTTTTCACATGCCTGATGATGAGCACGCCTACCCATGAGCAACTTATTCACTCGGGCCTTGAAGACACCCCCGATACGACCTTCAAACCTTCAAGAAACGAGCGTACTACTTCTTAAAAGGCCGGCAACACACCTGTGACTCCTCTGGTGTTGCAGGCGTCCATGGGCGGCACCGATCGCTTACCATCAGGTGATCCGTCTGCTCCTTTGCCTTTCTAATCCATAAAAAACAGGTTATTTATTCCCTTCAGGGAACACAAACTCGCGATTTCAAACTTACAATTAGAAATTATAAGTTCATGTTTCCTCACGACGCCTTCCTTCACCGTTTATCAGTAGTATTTGTAAACTTAGAAAGTACGTATAGCTCGGAAAAAGTCACATTGCCACTTGCCAAACTTTTATTGGCCCTTTGACAATACGATACCAACTGGTTTCATCTAGAAGAGACTGAATTCTGAGTTTGTTTCGGCATTTCTTCTCAAAGTAGCTAGATAAGAAATACCGGCTTTATCTTGATTGTTTTTATAAAACGCTGTAGTATTTAATTGGTGTAACCTTACCTAATTACAATCCAAAGTAATAATATAAATGCGAAAGTAACTCTGTCTGTCTGCCTTTTCTTCACGCCTAAACTATATGTATTGAACCTATTTTAGTGAAATTTGGTATAGACATAGTTTGGAACTCGAAGAAGGATAAAGGATAGTTTTCAAACCAAAAATTTTCAGGAATCCACTGTTGGTTGTTAATTAGTGTCGTGGTGGCCCGGAGGTTAAGCAGCCGCTTCTCACGCTTGAGGGTGTGGGTTCGAAACCTGGCAAGTACCAATGTGACTTTTTCCGAGTTATATGTACTTTCTATGATTATTTAGACACCACTGACATACGATGAAGGTAAACATCATGAGGAAATCTGGACTTATAATTTCAAAATATAAGTTTGAAATCGCCAACCCGCATTGAGCAAGCGTGGTGATTAATGCTCTAATCTTCTCTGTATGAGAAGAGGCCTTTGCTCAGCAGTGGGCACTTATTGGCTGATAATGAACCGAGAAAGCCTGTAATGTCCATTTGATGTGAAATTCTTTTAAAATATGTAGGTGTACGAAGGTCTGTCCAAGAAACTCCAAACATAATTTTTCAGCACCACTTCTCTAAAGCGTATATTATTTTCTTCCCACTATTATTTTATAAACAGACTTTAAAATACATAAGACCGTAAAATAGTCGTTTCAGTTGGTCGTTACGTGTTAGGATACGATATCTTGTCATATACTGTGTATACTAAGTGCCATTAAAGATATAATAGCCTGAAAATAGCTTGCTCCATCTCATAAAGATACCAGCATACGTGTGACACTGGACAATGAACCGTGCTACCGTCAGTTGACTGGAAAATCTTGAAGACATAATTAAGTCGCTTACGCGTACTACGGCGTAGCAGTCGTAGCGCGTAGCAGCTACGCGTACTACGAAATCGTTATCAATTAAGTGTCCGAAAAGTGTAAGTGTAAGTACTACGAAATCGTAATAAGTGTGGGAGAGCCATGCTTCGGCACGAATGGGTTGACTCGACCGGAGTGATACCACGGCCTCACAGAAGACCGACGTGAAACAACCACAGCGTTGTGTTTCGCCGTGTGAGTGAGGTTACCGGAGGCCCAATCCTTCCCCGCCCCCAATCCCTCCTCAATCCCTAAATCTCCAAATCTCTAATCACTAAAAGGTCGGCAACGCACTCGTAACTACTCCGATGCGGGTGTCCATGGGCGGCGCTGATTGCTTACCATCAGGTAATTCGTCAGCTCGTTTGCCGACCGATTACATAAAAAAAAAAACAATTATAATTTACGTCCAATTATTTTATAATTACGTAGCGTATAATTTGTTCGTCCATTATAAAATGGAGTGTATAAATAACTGGAGAAAATTATGTGGTACATTTTAATAAGTACTGAGTAATAGAGATGACGACTCGGTATGAAAATCCGCCTCGGGGAGCCAATTAGACCACCACAGATGAGGCTCGATCGAAGGGTTCAGTGGAGGTTCATCATCATGAACCTCCACTGAACCCTTCGATCGAGCCTTATAGGCTAGGCATTTATAGGCTAATGATGATTAGCCTATAAATGCCCACTGCTGAGCCAAGGCCTCTTCTCACACGGAGAAGGTTTGAGCATTAATCACCAAGCTTGCTCAATGCGGGTTGGCGATTTCAAACTTACAATTAGAAATTATAAGTCCAGGTTTCCTCACGATGTTTACCTTCACCGTATGTCAGTGGTGTCTAAATAATCATAGATAGTACATATAACTCCGAAAAAGTCACATTGGTACTTGCCAGGTTTCGAACCCACACACACTCATGTATGGGAAGTGGGCTCCTCAACCAATGGAGGTTATAGGGTAATAAATGTACCGCAGTCTCGGCTTGGAGTAGGAGAAGAAATGGGGAGGTTTTTAGTCAGTAAGAGTATAACACTCCCTCTCGCCTCATCCAGGGTCATTTGATGATTTTACCCCCTCAAAAGAAAACGGAAGAAAATCTAAACTCTTTTTCATTTCTTTCTATATACATATTTCATTGTCATCATCATTATCAGCCTCTTTCCATCGACTGGTGGACTCAGGCTTCTCGTATTTTTATATATAAACTATATTATTAATAAACATGTTTTCTTTTTAATTAACCCTACATTTTGATTTCACGGTTTTGATAAGATACTCGATTAGTTCCAAGCCTCCGCAGCGAGACTGTATTTGCTTAAGCATTTGCTGGCCCTAGTACAAAACAAGGTTCTTTCTAGTCTAGGTTCAAACCATTGAGTCAGTTTTTGTATTTCAAATTGAAGACACAATTTCACATACACATGACACCCAGACCCGGAACAACAATTTGTGGATCACACAAAGAGTTGTTCCGTGGGGAAATCGAACCCGCGACACGTTGCACGGCAGCCAGTTGCCCAGCCACCGCACCAACCGTGCAGTCAGTTATGCGTTTAGCATATTTAAAAATTCCTTTTTCAGGTTTTTCTTTAAGGATAATGTGCTTAGGGTATCACTATTATTTCTTATGAACGCTACTGATAATAATAAAGTTTTTTTTCTTTCCAGGTCACACAAGCTAAAATCATTCTGGTTCAGTATATCCGATGAGTCGCTCCCAGCTCTGGACTTCTTATCAGCAGCTCTACTCTCGGCCGAGTATGAAAGGGCGCTGGGCAGAGCACTCGCCATGCCTGAATGTCGATTAATACCTTTTTTCGGAGCCTTTTTAAGGGAACTCAGGTAAGTTTTTGCCTTTTTTTAATAGGACAAGCCTGCCACTGCCTCTCAAAACCTCTAAGCCAGGATCTAGAGAAGATTTGATACAATCTTACAAGTACAAAATCTTGAAAACTACTAAACCGATTTTAATGAAACTTAGTTCTTATATACAATATTTAATGGTCTTTTCATGGCCCTATCAGGTCCTATATGTGGTGGTCTATTGACTTTTTGAGGCTCGTAACGCGTAACGCAAAGCGCCATTTTCAGGCTTTGTTCTGGTCGGGCGGCGAGCTACTCTTGCGCGCCGTTCCACAGACCCACGCTGACGGTGGGCGGAAATCGTCGTGCAATCTTTTCTATCCTGTATAAAAGAAATCTAAATGAAGCCAGCATTACCTATCTGTGAACCAAACGACATTATAATAATAAATAAATATATTTATTGTTTTTATAATAACTATCGTGAGACATACTAAATTAACTAAAAATCGCGGGTTACTCACGTGTAAATATTGAGAAAAGCTCTACTAGTTTCGAACCACAGAGGGGTTCTTCCATATCTTCATATCATATCTTAAATATATTTATTGCTTCAAGAATTACAGATATATATAACCATTACTACATAGGTATTACAGAGTAATCTTATAAACAATTGTTGAATTGATAAGGCTTGCGTGATTGGAAAAATCTGTATGCAAAACTGATAAACTAGGGTATCCTGTATCTTAAGCCTTTGACTGCCGACAGAAAACTGTTGAAGGCAAATCCTCCGCTAACGGAGGTCACCGGTGACCCCTTTGCCAGACTTCGTGGCAAGGTAAATAATGAGACTGTAGATGGTTAAGGTCTGTTTATTACTTTAATTGCTGGTGCTTATATACTAAGAAGATGCGTGAGATTTTCAGATTTAGCTATCCTAACAAACGTGCAACAATTAACATGTGTGTCTTATCTCTATCGTATCTAAGTAATGTAGCGACGTGATCGTGCCGCTACATATACTCCCCCCTTTTAAAAATAATTAACATATAAATTGAAAAAAATTAGTATGTACCTAATTATATAATAACTTAACCTTGCTGATAAATTACATCCTATGCGTAATGTAATGTCATTGTTGCTAATTCAGCATAATTAATCGGTGATGGCACATCAATTTGTTCTATCCGTGACAATGCGTCTGCTACAATATTGTCACGTCCTTCTATATGTTGAATGTTGGTACAATATTGTGAAATAAAATCCAGTTGTCGTTTTCGCCGTGGCGTATCATTAGATGACGGTTTTTGGGAAAATGCGTAAGTCAAAGGTCGATGATCTGTAAAGATAGTAAATTCTCTTCCTTCGACTAACCTTTGAAAATGTTTGACTGCCATATATATTCCGAGCAACTCTCTGTCGAATGTCGAGTATTTTTGTTGAGTATCGCTTAATTTCTTTGAAAAGAATCCTAATGGTTCCCAATTACGTCCTGACTTCTGCTGCAGAACTGCGCCAACACAGGTCGAACTGGCGTCCGTCATAAGTGCCAAAGGGGCGGTGCGAGAGGGGTGAAATGTTAATACTGCGTTCCTTATATTTTCCTTGGTCCTTTAGTGATAATATGATGCTTAATCTTGTGTTTTGGAGTAGTGTGGAGGGAGGCTGGTTTCGTAATATCCTCGTATTCATTTAATAGTTGAGTAATGCGTGGATTCGTCTCAATGTTAATAGTGCGGATTGTTTGCTGCGTCGATTTGATCAGGGTTGCGGGCGTTGTCAGCTCAGTTACCCTATCTATGAGTTTTCGACCAGCTATATCGACTAATAGCTTATAATGCTCTAAAAAAATCTGCTCCAATAATCGGTTGTGTTACATCGGCGATGACAAAGTTCCATACAAAGTTTCTTCGTAGCCCGAAGTTTAAAGAGAGTGTTTTTTCACCATATGTCTTAATTTTTGTACCATTGGCGGCATAAAGTATACATTGTTCATCTTGTATTAGTGAATGTCTCTGTGGCTTGCTAATAACTGAAATATTTGCTCCCGTGTCAATCAAAAATCTCATACCACTTTTTCGGTCGGTAATAGTGAGGCGGTTGGACGGGTGAATAGCACAGAGTTCCGCCGTTGTCCGTGCTTCAATTAGTTTCCCTGTTTCCTTGAGTTGAGATCCTGTTTCCAATCACAAGGTTGAACACACTTTTGTGCATATTTTTTAAATCTTCCATGGTAAAAACAAAAGTGCCTTCTTTCTCTTGAACTCGATTGTGGTAGGAAATGCCGACGATTGGAATAACTTTGAGTGCTGCGTCGATAGTTTTTTTGACCTTGCTGAATTGCATTTAGTTCCAATTGCATTTCTGCTAACTGTGCTAGTATGCATGACATTGTATCGTCGCCAGATTTGTTTCCGTTTACAGCTGACACCTCTGTACGTGTTGAATTTATTAATATCTTGTCCGCGATCTGGCTCATCTTGTTCACATCTATGTCTTCTGTGACTGCTAGAACCGAAGTCACTGATGGTGGCAGAAGCCTCAACCATAGAAGTTTGATGGTTTCGTCGCTGATATTTCCGTTACTCAGGGTCCGCATCTTGCGCAGAAGATGTGATGGTTTCTGGTCGCCGAGATCCATTTCAGACAATAATTTTTGGAGCTGACGTTGGTCTGATTCCTCATAGCAACTGATTAGGCGTTCTTTGATAGCCTTGTACTTTTCTATTGGCGGTGGGCAAGTAATGAGGTCACTAACCTGTATTATTTCTTCTTTTGGCAGTTTTGCAATGACCGTATAGTACTTGTAATCGTCTCCTTGCTTCTGTGGTACTACTATGGCTTCTAGTTGCTTAAACCATAATCTGGGTTGGTCCCTCCAAAATTCCGGTTCCGGCTGATATCTCCAAGGCTTCTTGTTGGCTGCTGCTTGATTTGCAGGGTGAATGAGTCATGTTGATTGTTCTTCGTCGGGTCACCAATTTGCCTGACTTCGTGGCAAGGTAAATAATGAGACTGTAGATGGTTAAGGTCTGTTTATTACTTTAATTGCTGGTGCTTATATACTAAGAAGATGCGTGAGATTTTCAGATTTAGCTATCCTAACAAACGTGCAACAATTAACATGTGTGTCTTATCTCTATCGTATCTAAGTAATGTAGCGACGTGATCGTGCCGCTACAACCCCCATGGCGCTTAACGTGTTAAGAGACAGTGATCGGCTAGAGATTATTACATTTATATTTTACAACAAGCAGAGTGTGTCGATGTACCCTTAAATCTATAGATGCATAAAGGTTAAAACAGTGTTTGGCTAGAGATTATTACAATATCTTCATACAACTTATTCAAAACATAATAATGTAAATTGATTCAGATATAACAAATTAAAGTATAGGTAAAACTGAAACAGATTATTACCAAAATCTCATGTGACTTCATGAATTAATTACTGAATTGCTATCACACAGCCTATTTGTAAATTACTGATTTAATATACATGTATGTCATATAGAGTTGATAATACCAATTCTTTTGCAATCACACAAGATACACACTTGAAATTCAGCATTTCAAAAACGATCTTTCTATGAATTTTACTTTTTTACTATGAATTAAGTGTGTGTTTTTTACTAGTATTATAACGACAAATAGAAAACCTATTTAAAAAAATACCTAAAAAATAAGTTTTCCGAAATTAAAGTGACTGACTGACTGACCATGAAAAAATAATCTGATTGAAAAATCAGAATAATGGACGTCTTCCGGCTAATGACGATGATAATGAATTTTATTCATTAAATTCATTTTTTGGGTTGAATTACCAACAACTCCCTTATAATATGCAAAACAAATTAATTGTGGGTTTGGTTTTTACTTAATTTAATTTAATTACTCAACCCTTGTGTAACGCATAAATGAAAATAATTAATTAATTCGCACTTATTCAAACGCGCAACGGCCATAATAAGACTCTATATAAAAATAATTTTATTTTGGATAGAAAAATTGCACTAAAATATTTTCATCATTAGTTCTTTTGAATTTCAAACTTATTTTTTGTGAACACAAAGGGGACACACATTTGACATACATATTTGATGACATCGATATTAATGGTATTATCAACTCTATGCAAATACGACTCGTCCCCAATTCGCCTCATTGGCAACGTGTGTTGTTTTTTAATCACACAAGCTACCGAAATGGTTTCTTTATATATACAAACATATTATATACTATTTTTGTACTTAATATCACTACATAGTATTAAGCAAAATTGGTTCCCGCTGTCTGTCCCTAAGTTTATAGATTACTAGCTACTCTCGCGCGGTTTCACCCGCTGCTCGGCTCCTTTTAATCGTAGCGTGATGTTTTATAGCCTATAGCACTCAGGAACATTGTAGCTATCTATCAGTGAAAGAATTTTGTAAATCTGATTAGCGGTACCAAAGATTACATACAAACTTACAAATTTACAAACTTAAAAACTTACAAATTTTACCTCATTATAATATTAGTATATATAATACGACACAGTATTAAGCAAAGTCGGTTCACGCTGTCTGTTCATATGTAGGTTTATAGGTTTAAAATTACAACTATTTTTTTATTGGGTAGGTCAGCAAACGAGCACACGGATTACCTGATAGTAAGCAAATTGGCGTCGCCCATGGACACTCGCAACGCCAAAGTGTTACAAGTGAAGAACCCCTCTGTGGTTCGAAACTAGTAGAGCTTTTCTCAATATTTACACGTGAGTAACCCGCGATTTTTTAGTTAATTTAGTATGTCTCACGATAGTTATTATAAAAGCAGGTTCCTTATTTCTTAATAAATAGCTAAAAAAAACTAAAATTTAGTGTATCGATCGATGAATAAAAGTATAGTTATTTTTCAATATTTTGTTTTATTGAAACGTCGAATAAATTTATTTTTGACCTAGGAAACTACCCGATTGCCGTGAGATTAGAGCCACTTTATGCGGGAGTGTGTCGGAAAAAGTATTTATTCGTTCTGAGAATTTGAGACTGGCTAATTTATAGCCAGACAGAAAGTTAGCATACCATACAACTTAGCAAAGCTACCAATCTTCTAAGAACCTTCACCAAAAACGTTGTTTCACGCCAGTTTCTGTGAGGCCGCGGTATCACTCCTGTCGAGCCGGCCTATTCGTGCCGAAGCTTGGCTCACCCAAACTTGAAGCCCAAATATGTAACTAATACTTCTATGGTCCTTTCCAGAGAAATCCTCGCAGCATCACCGTCTCTGACTGGGAGTCACTCAGTAGGAGGGACCCCGACACACAGGAGAGAGTTCAAACGAGATTCTATGAAAGATGACAGGTAATTTTTTTATGTTATTCCTCGGCAAACGAGCAGACGGATTACCCGATGGTAAGCAATCGGCACCGCCAGTATACACCCGCAATGCCAGAGGAGTTACGTACGAGTGCTTTGCCGGCCGTTTGCGGATAGGATTTTTTAGATTTAGGGATAAGGGAGGGATAGGGAGAGGGGAACAACTGAGCGTCCGCTAACTTGACATACACGGCAAAACACAACGCTGTGGTTGTTGCACGTTGGTTTTCTATGAGGTCCTGGTATCACCCTGGTCGAGCCGACCCATTCGTGCTGAAGCATGGCTCTCCCACACTTAGAATTAAAGTCTTCCTTCTTTTAAGGCCTAAAAGCAAATGAGCAGGTGCTTCACCTGACGTTAAGCAATCCAAAGGATATCGTAGCTCCTACAGTTCTATCAGATTCCTATAGATTTTTAAGTTTCACACTTATGGCTTAATACACTCGCTACCCCAGTGTCGACACAAATTTCAAATCATTTTTAAATGTAATCACTACATAGTATAAAACAAAGTTGCTGTTTCTGTCCCTATGTCTGCTTAAATCTTTAAAACTACACAACAGTTTTTGATGCGGTTTATTTAATAGATAGAGTGATTAAAGAGGAATGCTTATATGTATAATAACAACCATGAATTTATTAAATATTGAAGCTATCGCTATTGTTATATAAAACATTATTTTGTCAATTTCCTATCAATTTCCATCCTCCAGAGGGTCGTTGAAAAGAGACACGAGAAGAGAGAGTGGGAAACGAATGGACCAAAGCACAACAACAAGTCCTCTGAGGGACAGTTGCAAAAGAGACTCCAGATTAACAGACTCAAATAAACAAGTGGTAAGTTACCTTATCACTGTTGGGATAAAGTTGAAATTCAAACCCTACCTACCCTACCTACCCTACCTACCCTACCTACCCTACCTACCCTACCTACCCTACCTACCCTACCTACCCTACCTACATCTGATGTTAACAACACCACATTTTGTTTATAGTACATAGCCTCATTCGACGAGGAAGGGGAACAGACTCCAGGTTGGCGTCGTGTAGGACCTGAAGGTCTGGTCAATTTGGAGAAGGTCTACCGCACTCAGGCAGTGATGGACCACATAGCCAGCTTTCACCAGCATCACTACGCGTTAGCAAGGAGCAACGCGCCCATTTTTGGGGATTTTCTGAGGTGATATTTTTTGGTTAAAATTTTTTAAAGGATACCGTCGTTTTTGATTAGAATTAGCTATCCTGAAGATCTTCACATTGCCTCAAAATTAACTTTCTTGAGAGTTTGCGCCCTTGTCAAATATCTAGTATCAATTTCGTTACATAACAGTTGGTACAGACAGGTACAGACATAGTTTGGAACTCGAGAAAGAAAATATTTTTTATCAAACATCATATTTTTTTTAAAAGTCACCATTAAACGCGAACGAAGTCACGGGCAAAAGCTAGTAGAAAATATACTATAAAATATGAGAAAACATATTATTAAATATTTTACATATAACTTTATATATACTTTCACAAATACTTCAAGGTCAAAGTCAACTAATTCAGCCCAACCGGGAGAGTCAGAGTTTTAGCGGGAATAACAACAGTACAATCCATTTATTAAAATATTTGTGACATAATTTTGTTTTTATCATCAATCAATGATGGTATCAATGACCCCCAATCCCCAAAGACAGACAAACTAAACATTAATATACATAACAAGCAATAAAATGTCCAGTTTGTGTTTACATTTGACAGTAGCAAAATTTTTATGTCTAAAAATGGGGTGGGAGCAAAGGCAAGATAGCAACAAGAAACTGCCTAAAAAAACTCAATTCATAGCATTCGTAAGAAAGGCTTTAATACCGCTTCTCAGTGCCATTATCAGACCCTAATTCCAATTTCTATCCTCAGAGCAGCAATGTTAACGTGTGAGGAGCCCGTCTTCTCTCATTCCACCTCGAAAACGAACGGGGACTTTGAGAACGAAGCCCTTTACGAGCTCGAAGGCACGGGGTACTGTCCCGTACAACCATTACCCCACGACCATGGAGTCACAATGTTTCCATTGGCACCACAAAACGGAGAACGAATGGACAGACATATTTTACAGGTATGTTAAGAAGAGGTTTTAATTTTTAATAAGCTGCCTATTAGTGCTCTCTGCTGAGCAAAGGCCCTTTCTGACACGGAGTTGGTTTTAGCATTAACCACCACGCTTGCTTCAGGCGGATTGGCGATTTCAAACTTATAATTAGAAGTTATAAGTCCAGGATTCCTCACGATAATTTCCTTCATCGTGTATCAGTGGTGTCTAAATAATCTTAGAAAGGCATATAACTCGGAAAAAGACACATTGGTACTTGCCAGATTTTAAATCTGCACGCTCATGCATGACAAGCGGGAGCCTTAACCTCCGTGTAGCCTCAACTTTAAAAGGCTCACTAACGCAAATCAACTATGAAATGTAACGTAAGAAGTAATTAATTATAAAAATGTTTGAAAAACAGTAATCATGAAGTTTTTTACTCGTTCTTCTCTATAGAAATCTTAACTTTGGAACGAACAAATAGCTTCACTAGAAAACTGACAGATAGGCTGACACTATATCTTCAAAATTTTGTTTGATGTTCAAAAGTGTCTGTCAGTAATGGTCTAATTGGAATAAATGATTTTTGACTTTTGACTTTAACTTTGGAACATGGCTCTCCCACGCTTTTAATCATTTCACTTGTGCTATCACTCCGGCCCATTCCTGCCGAAGCATGGCTCTCCCACAGTTGAGATCCTCAGATTATACGTTTGTAAACGCACCTAAAATATAGAAGAAAATGTTAACGTGAGACAGCAGTTTTTTTAATGCTGCTTACAGACCAGCCAAATGAACGCGTTAAACACAATATTATAATATATGTGTTATACACAATATTATTTTCTTAACACTTCTTGTGTTGAACTGAACGAGCATTAAGTCTTCAAGCCGTCCAGATTGTAGCAACGAAGGTCAACGAAACCCGTTAGTTGGCATTTGTTTGTCCAGTCTGTCCGTAACATCATCAGCCTATAAGTGCTAAGCAAAGGCCTCTTCTTATACGGAGAAGGTTAGAGCATTAATCACCACGCTTGCTCAATGCGGGTTGGCGATTTCAAACTTATAATTAGAAGTTATAAGTCCAGGATTCCTCACGATGTTTACCTTCACCGTACTATGTCAGTGGTGTCTAAATAATCATAGAGAGTACATACAACTCGGAAAAAGTCACATTGGTACTTGTAAGGTTTCGAATCCACACCCTCATGCATGAGAAGCGGGCGCCTTTAGCTACAGGCTACCACGACTGTCCGTAACATAATACTAAAATGTCCTGAATTTCAGATAATGCATCACGGGACGGCGTGCGTGGTGACTGAAGCGGAGTGGGGAGGCACCCTCGCTCAGCTGAGACTAGAACGCGCTTGCGCACTGCTCGCCTGGTGCAGAACGGCGCATCAACCAAACGCTTTACATGGTAAGTGGTTGAAATAGAAGAATGACTATTCTTTTTTATGTGACAAGACGCCCAACGACGGATTACCTGATGGTAAACAATCAGTGCTGCCCATGGACACGGAGGAGTTTGAAGTATGTTGGCAATCTTTTGGGCATTAGGAATTGGTCAAGAATGGGGCCTCCGGTAACCTCACTCACACGGCAAAATACAGCACTCTGGTTGTTACACACCAGTTTTCTGAGAGGCCGGTCGAGGTAGCCCATTCGTGCCGAAACATGGCTCTCCCACGCTTAATTTTTCTTTCTGCTATAAAATGATCATTATATTTTTAGTAGTGTGGGAGAGCCATGCAAATATATAAAATATATAAAAATACAAATGGGTCGGCTCGACCGGAGTGATACCACAGCCTCACAGAAAACCGGCGTGAAACAATCACATCGTTGTGTTTCGCCGTGTGTGTGAGGTTACCGGAGGCCCAATCCTTCCCCTGCCCAAATCCATCCCCAATCCCTAAATCTTCCAAATCCCTAACCCCCAAAAGGTCGGCAACGCACTCGTAACTCCCCTGTTGTTACGGGTGTCCATGGGCGGCGCTGATTGCTTACCATAAGGTAATCCGTCTGATCGTTTGGCGACCCTTCACATAAAAAAGTAGTATTTTCATTAAATTTAAAAATAATGACTTTCACGTGAATTAAACTAAGAAAAGTTGTACTAGTTTGAATAATTATAAATCGACGTGTAAAAGTGTCGTTTATGGCCTATTTGCAAAAATAAATTCATTGTTTCATTGTATCATTGTTTCATTGTTTCATTGACTTGAAATTGTTTCATTGACTTGAAACTAGTCGAGCTCTTTTCAATCAATTCACGTGAGTAAAATAAAAGTAAAGAGTATCATAAACATATTATAATTAATCTCTTTTTCAGGAGAAACCCCGTCTGAAAACATGACACAGCCTGAAGTGAGCCTATCATACAATCCTGAAGAAGTTATCCCTCTGAAATACACAGCGAATTTAGCTCATGAAAATGAAGCTGGAGTTGTGGGCGAAGAGGGGTGAGAATTAATGTTTATTTTTTATGAATTTTGAATGATTACCTGATGGTAAGCAATCCGCTGCGCCCGTAAACATCCGCAGCAACAGGGGATTAATGATTGTGTTTACCTTTTTGGGGTTGGAAGTTAGAGGATTTGGATAAAAGATTCGAGTTTGATTTTGTTGCGCAGCAGCTTTTCATCATCATCATCAGCCTATAAGTGACCACTGCTGAGCAAAAGCCTCTTCTCACACTTAGAAGGTTTGAGCATTAATCACCACGCTTGTTCAATGCGGGTTGGCGATTTCATACTTATAATTAGAAATTTTAAGTCCAGGTTTGCTCACGATGTTTTCCTTCACCGTTTGTCAGTGGTGTCTAAATAATCATAGAAAGTACATATAACTTGAGAAAAGTTAAATTGGTACTTGTCAGGTTTCGAAACCGCACTCTCATGCATGAAAAGGGGGCTCCTTAACCACCAGGCCAACGTGGCCACACCGTGGCGTTGTAAAATCGCAAAAATGTCAATTAGGAATTCTTTTTTCATGGTATACGTCGGCAAACGAGCAGGCGTATTACCTGATGGTAAGCAATCAGCGTCGCCCATCTACACCCGCAACGGAGGAGTTACAATTGCGTTGCCAACCTTTAAGGGATTAGAAATTTGGACATATAGTGTTTGGGAGAGGGGAAGAATTGGGCCTCTCGTAATCTCACTCACACGGTGAAACTCAACGCTGTAGTTGTTACACGCTGGTTTTTTTGTAAGGCCATGTTATCACTCCGGTCGAGCCGACCCATTCGTGCCAAAGCATGGCTCTTCCACAGGTAAAATTCTTCTTCTCAATTCATCGTCGATATTCGTAACCTCTATTAACATTCATTACAGATTTATTGATCTCCAGTGCGTAAAAGATATGAGACTCGGTGGCAAACTTCTGGAACCTCGAGATGTGGCTGAACTGACCGCGTGTGCTAGAAGACATGGCTTGGAAACCTGTTCACATGGTCCTCACATCATCTCTCTGGTCTACGGGAGAACTTTGAGCGACAATAGAACTGTTCATTTTGTTCTTCCGGCGTATTCTTATAGGTGAGTTGAAAAGAAATGTGTTATATTGAGATAAGGGGTTTTTGGGGATTTGGGTTTTGGGAAGGAGTGGAGAGTGGGGAAAGGTGGGAAAGAATCAGGCCTCGAAATACAACGCTGTGGTATTTCACGCTGGTTTTCTGTGAGACTGTATCACTCCGACCAAGCATTCGAGTCGAAGCTTGGCTCTCCCACACTTAATCTAATACATTTAAGCATTGAATATAAAATTATTATTGGTTAGCGCAGTAATTGGGCGGTTCCTGCGAATAATGGCGTACTAGCTTCCCGCACTGATCAAATTAAAACTCACTCCGACGACATGGGCCAAAACCACCAAATAGTATTTTATATAACACATATATTATTTCTTTATTTCAAACTATTACTGCTGTAGGAGTAAGATTCCCGAGTCGACCAAAATCGTTACGCAATTTATCTATACAATTTTTATATAGACAAATTGGATTATCTGATGGTAAGCAACAGCGAAGCAGTTACGAGTGCATTGCCGACCTTTTGGGGATTAGGGTTTTGTGTATTTAGGATTTAGGAGGAGAAAGATTAGGCCTCCGGTAACTTCAATGACACGGCGAAACACAACGCTGTGGTTGTTTCACGCCAGTTTTCTGCTGCTGAGCCATTCGTGCCGAAGCATGGCTCTCCCACATTTTCTGCTTTAATACCAAAATATTATTAAATGCTTAAAGAAAATAAAGAAAACATAATGCTTACTTTCACTTTACCCTTCGTTTTTTACTTTCAGAGTATGGGCTGTAGGCCTCCACTCTGTGATCAGAGCGCTTATGAGCCAAGCAAAATTAGCTGACAGAAGCTTAGCATGGCTGAAGAATAAATATACCGCCTTATATTATGAAGATGGATGCTGCTGTGAGCCATTGGTTTCTGACGCTATTCGGGTGAGTACACAAGATAAAACGCGGCTGATAAAGAAGAGAGAGAGAGAGAGAACTAGACAGAAGGAGAGATAGAGAGATTTTTGACGTTTCTAAAAACGTAATGAATTCGACTATACCTACTCACTTTTATGCTTTCGCGTTTCATATTTATAACATGTAATTGCGAGAACCTACTCTAAATATCTCCTCTCCCATACCCAGGTCTTTGGAGGAAGAGAATCTACGTGTGGTAGCTCATCACACTCCACACCAGTCAAAGGCACCTACACTGACTCTCATTCAGACTCACTCAGAGGATCCGGGATCAAGTTTAAGGTAAGCTATTTATTTATTTATTTATAATTGCATATTCGTGCATGCATTTTCTGCCAGTCAACCTTTTGGTAGCGCTGAGATGTGTGGTAGGTGATATACAGCAATTTAGAAAGTGGCGGTGTAAATTGATTCAAAGTTACATACATAAAAATAGTACCTATATATAAAATAAAATTAAAAAGTCTTTTATTTCTTACTTTAAACAAAATTTAACAATAAAAGTAATAAACATGATTGAATACTAAATACAAATTTTAGGTTAGAAATAAGCTATATTTTGAGCAAAAAAAGAAGTAAGAACTCCTCCCCCCCTTATTTAAGGGTGAAGGTCTCTAGAGGAGGCCCTCTAGAGAATGCCAAGTGTCCCTGCCACCTGCCACGTTCATCCATTGCTCGCAAAAATAGTATATACATATAATTATAAATATTGGTAGTTGCACATAAGACTGCCCATTCCCAGGTTTCACTTAAATTTCCATCCAAAGATTATCGGGAAAAAATCACAATGTGTGATAAGACCGCTCATTTTACACTCTACTAGCTTCTGCCCGCGGCTTTCCCCGCGTGGTATGTTGATAAAAAGCCCATGTCCTATTTGAAGTGTATCCTATGCCTGTGCCAAATTTCTTCCAGATCCGTTCAGCCATTTTGGCGTTATTGAGTAACAAACATCCAAACATCGTAACTTTCGCATTTATAATATTAGTATAAAGTAAGATAGTTAAAATGCCTGCCTGTTCTCTATTGCATTTGTAATAATGTGTACAATAAAGTCCTATAAATAAGTAAGCCAATTTGGCCATTAAATGCCTTCTCCCTAAAAATAATTTTCGCCTGTACCTACATGTGCGTTGCAAGAATTTGTAATATTTTATATAACTTTATTGATTCATTGAATTGATTTACACCTCCACATCCCATAGCTCAATAAATTCCAGCACACCACTTACCACACATCTCAGCACTACCAAAGGGATGACTGGTAGAAAATGCTTCTAGCATTAAGCCTTCTGTTACAATTGGATAGTTTCCTAGGTCAAAAATAAGTTAATTCGCCGTTTCAATACAATAAAAATATATTGAAAAATAACCTATAGGTACTTTTATTCATCGATACACTGAATTTTAGATATTTTTTAGCAAATTTTTAAGAAATAAGCACCTATTTGACTCAAAAAAACTATGACGTCATAACTACATTTTTCATAGAAAAGTATCGTTTTTGACATTTGGATAAAAGTATTGAATTTGACTAGTTGGAAACTACTACTATTGTAAATGAAGAATAAAAAAAAATTAAGTTAAAACGGAAAATAATGTGAAATTCTTCGACAATTTCTAAAGAATCAATTGCTATATGACCTTCGACCTTGAACAGCAAATAGCTCTATCGACCTTGACTTAAAAAAACTACACAGTTTTTCTTCTCGTTTTCAGAAAAACAAATCAACATCGGAATTGAAAACTAGTTCGCCAAAGAGTTTCGTTTCCACACATACCTCGGGGACGAGAAGTGAGGATGAGGTCATTCAAGGATCCCCTAGACACAGGTACAAAAGAATATTTACGTATCATCACTTTTAGAGCCATATTCATCATCATCAGCCTATAAGTGCCCACTGCTGAGCAAAGGCTTCTTCTTACACGGAGAAGGTTTGAGCATGAATCACCACGCTTGCTCAATGCGGGTTGGCGATTTCAAACTTATAATTAGAAATTATAAGTCCAGGTTTCCTCACGATTTTTCCTTTCACCTTCACCGTATGTCAGTGGTATTTTTTTTTACCTGCAATAAACTAGTGCTTGACTGCGATCCCACCTGATGTTAAGCAGTGATGCAATCGTTGATGGTAAGTCGCACTAGTTTATTATAGTATCTAAATAATCATAGAAAGTATATATAACTCGGAAAAAGTCACATTGGTACTTGCCAGGTTTCCAACTTGCACCCTCATGCACGAGAAGCGGGGCATTAACCTCCGGGCCACCACGACATTATACCAGACACCCTGAGACATATTACGAATTCGTAAACAGAACTGCACTGAGTATATTACTTTTAAATACACAAAATGTCAGAGTAACAACCGCCAAATATATTGTCAGTCATAATACCTATCTCCTAGTATTATTTTACATATTATTTTTCTTGATTTTGTTTACTTAAGTATAAGTTCATAAGTTCTTGTAATATTTCCTTTTTGTCAAATTCAATTAAATGTATTATTTTTTTTCAAGAATAAGAGCCTATCTTTTTTTTATATAACTTTATTTAATTTATTTTAATTTCGTTTGCGCACAGATGTGTATAAACATTAATTCTGTGCATAAGCACAGCATGTACTGAGATATGCCTTTTGCTAAATTTGTAAATATTTATTTTTGTGGCAAGATAAATGATTCGGTCTTCATTGAAATCCATGTTACTACTAAGAATTTTGAATATTTGCCCAGCTATGGATTAAAACTAACGATCTCATGCTTGATAGCAAAACTAAACTCCAATTTAAACAATGCAAGTTTCTTGCCTCTTCTTTTCAAGTAATTAAAGCAATAATTGACTAGATATACAACCATTTAACAGACGCTTCTATTTAAATTGTTGCTCTTATACATAATGTTGAAGAAATTGGTGCCTTTAGAATCTCAAAAATGAAAACATCAAAATATGACTTCTCTCGACGAACGTTTGGCAAGAGGGAGTGTCAGACTCTTACTGACTAAAAGCCCTCCCGTTCCTTCGACTGCTCCAAGCCGAGGCCGTAATACCTGAATGTTTTTTAGAATAATGGTTGAAGAAGACTTTCTTTCCTTCCCAGTTCCTATTCATCATCGATGAGTCACCACCATTCCTATGGACCTCGACACAGCAGTTTGACAGCCGCTGCTACTAGTATCATGGCTGGATCTCCAAACAGAAGCAGGTGAGTGACCTTGACCTTTGGTTTTAAGAGTATACTTACAATTATGATAAAATACTTCTTTTAATTATAAAAATAACAAATTTTAAAGTATTATTGAAAAAATATTGTATATTAAGTTAGAAAATTATTAAAAAGAAATGAATATTGCGTATAACAATATTTTAGGATTATGATTAAAGAACTGGCTTGTCATATTTTTTTTTTAGAAAAAGGTATTTAAATATTAATTGTAAAAATTAATAATATAAGGTCAGTTCTAAAATTCTCCACCATATTAAATAATTTGACCTTGATCCTTGTCCTTGACCTTCAGTTTGATTCGGATGACCTTGACTTTTGACATTGCGACCTTATAAAGGGGTCGTGACCTAATTACGCGTCATGTTGACCTTTAACGTTGGACGTGTAAATATTTTGATTTCTTTGAAAACATCTGGCCTTTGTTTTGGTCTCATATTATTTTTCATTTTATACTTTATTTGTTTTAAAAATATTTTCATAAATTGATGAGTTGATTGAGCTATATCGACTTCTCAATACAATAAAGCATTAAGAAATATTAATCACTTTTCGGTTCATTAGTTTTAAAAATACATATGCCTAATATATTATGTATTTTTCTTCAAGCTTTAAGAAATACCTACATTATGCTATTTGACGACATAAAAACATGGAGTCACAATACACAATTTCGTACAATATCAACACAATCCGGAAAGAGTATTTATTTAATTTAACTTGTTATTGAATTACAAATTGTTCTTCTTTTCATGTATATTAATTTTATCAGCCTTAAAACTTTTTATGAGTAAATTTTTTTTGTCATTCGGATTACCTGATGGTAAGCAATCAGCGCTGCCCATTGACACCCGTAACACCAGAAGAATCGAAAGTGCGTTACGGGCTTGTTCGCAATAAGAAGTTTTAAGGATTTAGGGATTGCAGAGGGCATTGGTAGAATTGAGCCTCTGAGAACCTCTCACGTGGCGAAACACAACGCTGTGGTTGTTTCCAGACGGTTATCATCATCATCCTCATCATCATCATATAAATGCCCACTGCTGAGCAAAGGCGTCTTCTCATACTGAGAAGGTTAGAGCATTAATCACCACGCTTGCTCAATGCGGGTTGGCGATTTCAAACTTATAATTAGAAATTATAAGTCCAGGTTTCCTCACGATGTTTACCTTCACCGTATGTCAGTGGTGTCTAAATAATCATAGAAAGTACATATAACTCGGAAAAAATCACATTGGGACTTGCCAGGTTTCGAACCCACACACTCATGCATGAGAAGCGGGCTGCTTAACCTCCAGGCCACCACGACATAGACGGTTATCACGCCAGTGGAACCGACCAATTCATTCCGAAGCATATCCACACAATTTAATGTGGGACATCTTACTGAGTGGTTTTCCGTATTTGCGTACCTATCTATCCTTGGTGGATTATCAAAATCATAAATTATAATCGTTAAACTTTTTCTTTTGTTTCAGTTTAAGAAGACTGGAGACCAGCGAAAGATTTTGGGAAAACCTAAAACATTTGAGAACTGGTTCTGTTGGATATGACACACAACTTGATTTCATGGACTTCGTTACGCTTTTCAGGAGTTTCAGGTAGATCTTCAATAATTTAAAGTTAATATATTTATTAAATATTTATTTATTTATATTCCATCATATTCTGTGAAAGTGTAGTCTCTGGCAATACGAACGTTACATTATGTTAGATAATTTAAATGTCTCATCAGGTGTAGTTTGTTATACAGACCTTGTGGAATGTAGAACAAATTTCCGTGCATTTAGGCGTTTTTGCCATACCTATTACTGGAAACAACTATAGCAGCTCACACATAGGTCCCATTACAATAACAATACAAAATTTTCCGTGGTGTTTGCCGACTGGGCTTCTCCCAGTTGTACCATCTCTTCTGTGCCTTTAAGGTCTAAGTCATTCTGCCTCCTGTATTAAATTTACCAAGAGAAGTAACTTTTTTTACTTTAATGATTTTAAAATAAAATCCTAAAAGTTGGTATCCTTAAATCCTTATAATCCTTTAGCGTACCAACGACAAATAAAAATAACAACTGTAACGTTGTGTACCTACCTACCGCTTGAAACCTACCTTAGTTCACTTAGTATCCATTCCGTTTTGGCATTCCAAATGACACATAATTGGGTCAAAAATGAATGAATTCGACGTTTCAATACAATAAAATATTGAGAAATAACTATACTTTTATCCATCGATCGATCGATGCACTAAATTTGAGATATCTTTTAGCTTAATTGTAAGAAATAAGTAAACTATTTGACGCGAAAATACTAGGACGTCATAACTCAGTGTTTCGTACAAATTTCATAGAAAAGTACTTATAGTTTTTCACATTTGAATAAAAGTATTGAATTTAACTAGTTAAAAATTACCGTATTGGAAGTATTTTAATTGTTTTTTGTAATCACAATAGGATTATAATGTTGTTTTGCAAAATGTCAAACCTCACATCAAAAATACAAGAAGTCGCAACTAAATAATATTTTGTAAACAGTTTGGTAATGCGATCGGAGCTTCGCGACATTTTCGACCAATTAGCCGTCCCGAGGAATCGATCACCATTATTCGGAGCCGAGAAGAGCCGAAGTTCCCCCGAATTATTCCGAAGTCGAGGCATCTTTAGGACAGGTGAGAATTTTAATTGAAATACCACTCTATTTTGTAAAGTTAAGGTATAGTTTACAATGTAAATTGAATGGATGTATGTACCTATTTTAAGTGAGAACTTGAAGGATTTTTTATTGACAGTAACCTCTGTAACTTTGAAAAAAAGGTCGAATTTTCCATTTCCTCTCAAATTCCAGCTTTAATACCTGTTGCAATGAGTGCTTCAATGCCCACACTAAACAACTCATTATGTGATGCACAAATTGTTTTTTTTTTTAATTCTGACATGAGGGATTTTTATACACATGGATACGTCAACCCCATTGTACCTTATAACTACGACATATTATTTAGATTTTACCAAATACTATTACATGCAATCCTAACTCGCCTAGGTTCTACATAAAGGTATTCAGAAACCTACCTATAAAGTATAAATACACAGTTATTCATTGCTTAAGCCTCGGAACTAAACCACACAACCTTTTAGCAACATTGGATTTTTGTTTCGCCAAAATACTCTGGATAAGTCCAAGATCTAAGACATTGAGTTTAAAGTCCTTAAACAATGAATCCCTTTCAGTTTTGTTCTTAACACATTCCATCAGCAAGTGTTGCACTCACAAATTGTTGTAACCTAGCTTCACTGACGAACAGACCGACTGACTAACTACTACCTAATCTTTTTTTAACGTTGCCCCACATTAGGATTTTCTCCTCTGTCGTGGGTGCGTTTACAAACATTTAAATTCACATACACCTCACACCTAGACCCGAAACAGCAATTTGTGGAGTACACAAAGTGTTGTTCCGTGCGGGAATCGAACTCGCGACATGTTGCACGTCAGCAAATAGTTGCCCAGCCATCGCACCAAGCGTGCAGTCAATCTATCAATCTATCTTGACGTTTCAAAAGTACCTGTTTATGGTTTAGTTGGAATAAATGATTTTGATTTAATTTGTTCCGGGTCTGGGTGTGACGTGTATTGTGAAGTAAGTAAGCGAAATTTTATATTTGTAAACGCACCCACGGCACAGGAGAAAATGCAAGTATGATATGACGTTTTAAAATGACTTTATTTTCTTTTGTTCTCAGGCCTCTTAACAAGAAATGGATCATTAGATTTAGAACCACCCAGCGACAAAGTGGGTAGGAAGAAGGCATTCGACCTGCTTGCTGCGGCCGCGTTACCGGGTAAGACAATTTTAATTTTACTACTATTTTTGTCAAATGTTCAAGTAAAAAGTTAAAGTCAAGGTCAAGGACAAAAGTCGAAGGTCAAAAAATCTTCAGGTAAAATTATGGAATAATAATATTTTTGAGCTTTTCTTAATGGTTCTAAGTACTAACGAAAAAAATGAAACAAGCTAAAAAACAAAAGCGTAAACCAAACCTCTTCATTCGAGTCCGATTATAAATAAACCTAAAAGTCACATACTTACCAATAGTTTGCAGAATAGAGACTACAGTCCTGACTCCTGTAGAGTCGCGTAGGCCCCCTCGATCACTAAGACAGTAAAAAATTACAATTTAATTAATTTTATTGTAACAGGCGCCTGTCCAGATGTCAGCGGACGAGTTCTGTCCTTGCCTACCCTGGGCAAATTCTGCGAGACGAGACAAAATGAGATCAAGACTGAACAGCAATTAAGAGATATTATACAGGTGAGATCAACGTCATCATATGTAGGTATAATTAGCAGTACCAGTAAGTGTGGGAGAGCCATGCTTCGGCACGAATGGGTCGGCTCGACCCGAGTGATACCACGGCCTCACAGAAAACCGTGTGTGAAACAACCGCAGCATTGTATTTCGCGGTGTGAGTGAGGTTACCGGAGGCCCAAACCTTGCCCTCCCCCAATCCCTAAATCTCCAAATCCCTAATCTCTAAAAAAACAAAAAATGTAGAAGAAAAAGTGTAATTGTGTGAGACGAAGTCGTGCTTCGGCACGAATGAGTCGGCTCGACCGAAGTCACCACGGCCTCACAGACAACCGACGTGAAACAACCACAGCGTTGTGTTTTGCCATGTGAGTGAGGTTACCGGAGGCCCAATCGCTTCCCAATCCTGAAATATCCGAAACCCTTATCTCCCTAAAAGGCCGGCAACTCACATTATAACTCCTTTGGTGTTCCTGGTGTCTATGGGCGGCGCAGATTACTTACCATCAGGTAATCCGTCTGTTCATTTGCCAGCCAACACCGCCACTCCAGCTGTTGATATTAATGATAAGGATCTTTCTTAATATCTGAGACGTTCATTATAAAAGGTCTTCTTTACCTATGAAATTGCCGTTTTACATGAAAAAATTTAAACGATTTTTTTGATTAGAAATGCCATGAAAATGTAACACTAATCAATAAACAAATGACTACTTTTGGAAAAAGAATCCCATGTTTTTAAACAAAATTAATTAGCCTTAGCCTAACAAAAACTATTTTGATTTGAAATGGCCAGTACTGCATACATACATTTACCTCTATGTGGATAGCCACTTTAATCTACCAGAAAACATATCCGATTGGGTAGTTTCCTAAGTTAAAAATAAATTATTTCGACGTTTCAATACAATAAAATATTGAAAAACAACTATACTTTTATTCATCGATCGATCGATAAACTAATTTTTAGATTTTTTTTATAAGAAATAAGTAAGCTATTTGACGCAAAAAAGTTATGACGTATAGCTCAGTTTTTCATACAAATTTCATAGAAAATTATCGTTTTTGACGTTTGGATAAAAGTATTGAATTTGACTACCTAGTTGGAAACTACCGTATTATAATTTATTATTTCCTTTTTGGTTTAGCGACATGAACCAGACCCTGGACTACGGGCTGACAATTGCATGTCATTTGAAGGATTTGTCAGATTTCTGACTGACAAAGACAACTACGCCTTCGTGCCGGAACAGATGAGAGCTAATTTCTTAGCGTAAGTAATTTTTATAGTGAATAGGCTCTTAAACTAGTGCCCTGTACCATCAACGCTTGCATCGCTGCTTACCATCAGGTGTAGTTCCAGTCATAACTAGTTTATATGATAAAAAAACATATTATACAGTTACTTTTTATTAAAGGTTAGGAAAAAAAATTTAATTTCCATTTTTTGTATGTGTGCCTATGCATATGGGCGGGAGGGTGAGACCTTTGCTGCATGAGCATGTGTGCATGATTGCATAGGAGTAGGATTGCATCCTGCAAAAAGCCTGGATTATTGTCGCGGAATTAATACTAAATATTTTTCCTAACATTTAATGTCATGGATTTCAGCAAAGTAACGCCTGATTCTATAAATTAGTTACTTTTTAATTTGACTTTCTTTAACGAATATCAAAAATCAAAGTTAATAATCAAAAATAAGCCACTTAATCCAATAATCTGAAAAATTTAAGATCAATAAATAAAAAGTTAAGAGACTAATTAACAAAGTAACAACAATATAATCAGAGTCAAGTAATCTAACACCAAAAAGTAGAGTCAACATAAAAAAAATATCAGTCAAGTTTACCTACAGTCAAAAGTCTATAAGTCAAAAGCGCTAGAGTCAAAGCCTAAAGTCACCCATTTTTTCCGCAGAAAATCGTCAACATCTTCGGAAGAGGAGGAGGTACACAAATCTATATCAAAAGATATGACGGGGCCACTGTCTCAGTACTACATAGCCAGTAGCCACAATACCTACCTTACCGGACACCAGCTAAAAGGGGAGTCATCCGTCGAATTGTATAGCCAGGTCAGTCAATAAATTCCTCACATTTTTTTTAAATAAGTGCGAAAAGAGATCTTAGTTTTAAGTACAGCGACCCCGATTTGGAGCAGAACTTGGATCGATATGGTTTTTAGTCAGACACACTCCCTTTTTTGCGGTAAACTTTTAATTTATTTCACTTTAAGTTCATTTTTGTATAAAAAAAAACAAATATATTTACCGAATTATACAATTTTATAAAACAAAATTATAAGATGTCTCGAATTTATCATTGATTTGGCATTGTTTTGCTGACATGCTAACACCCGGTTTCTGAAAGGCTTATCAACGCTGAAATTTACTAATCTCCTGTTAAATCTCTTGTCAAGTCACCTGATTGGTTGTTGATTATTCAGTCAACCAATCAGATGACTTGACAAGAGATTAAATTGATTTTAAAATTGATCGGCCTTTCGGAAACCGGGTGTTAGTGTAGGAAGAAATAGTGGCATGACATTGACATTTTGTCAACGTCGACGAAAACGAAACAAACTCAGTCATCATCGGTTCATCATCGACATCATCAGCCGGAAGACGTCTGTGGGACTGTGGATGATAATGATGAAGAACCGATGTCGTCGGTCCACCTAGCGGGAGGTCAGCTCACGCTACGTTTTCCGGCCCACAGTCGCCACTTTTCTTTTTCTGACCTATCGGCCATCTGTCCTTCGAGCCATGTAGTCTAATCATTACCACTTCAACTTGCAGATTTTAAGAGCTTTGTCGGTAAGACATCGGTTTAGATATTTTTTTATTCAAATAGAATAAATTTTTAAAATTTTATGAGTTGAGTTAACACTTGGTATCCTTAACGCAGATCGACGCGAGACACTATGCGTTTTCTATTGTGTATTTTATATACTGGTAGTCAAGTGGTTCAGGACTAATTTACCGACCCGGCCTGGACCAGAAGGAGGTGCAGGTCAATTTTTTATAAAAGACTGACTCTCCCTCTCGCCCTACTGAGAACAGGACCAATCAACTGATGAATCTCGCTCTAAAAACATTCAGACGTAATTGTCAAATCAATACGCATGTTTTAGTAATCATATTGTTTTTTTTTCTTCTCCTCAAATAATATCTTCTGGTTTATTTCGTTGCGGGATCCAAAACAGTCATTCATGTCCCTGGGACGCACCGGACTTCAGCATTTTCATGGTTGTTTCTACTGTAGATCCTCGTGCACAGAAGTTTCGGAGGTTTTGGAAACAGACATATTATTTGATAATTTAGGAAGTCAAATAAAAGACTGTTTATGTTAAAGACATTTAATATTATAATTATAGAGACAAGATAATCAAAACTTGAGTACTTTGTGTTACTACATATTACAAATGAAAACACTGGTACCAAAAAATATTAAAATAACGATCATAATAATTTAGATGAAGTTTCCAACTTTCTCATGGCAATTTATTACAGGCTCCGGTTGAGTTTGTAACTAGACGAACATGCTCGTAAATGGTATAAGCCGGTGGTATGAAAAGTATTTCACATTCTACAGAATAATACAATAATTATTACTTAGACTATAGCAACTTTTTATAAAAATTACGTAGACACAGACAGATAATTAAGATTTCAAATATGTTTATAGTTTACAAGAAAAATATCTTCAATTTTTTTATATTAAATAGTAATGTAACTTATACTATAGGTACGATTATTAAAAGACTAATGCCCGGTTTCCGAAAGCCTGATCAATGTTAAAATCAACTAACTAGGTGTCAAATATGTCGTGGTGGCCCGGAGGTTAAGGCGCCCGCTTCTCATGCATGAGGGTGCGGGTTCGAAACCTGGCAAGTACCAATGTGACTTTTTCCGAGTTATATGTACTTTCTATGATTATTTAGACACTACTGACATACGGTGAAGGTAAACATCGTGAGGAAACCTGGACTTATAATTTCTAATTATAAGTTTGAAATCGCCAACCCGCATTGAGCAAGCGTGGTGATTAATGCTCTAACCTTCTCCGTGTTAGAAGAGGCCTTTGCTCAGCAGTGGGCACTTATAGGCTGATGATGATGATGATGAGGTGTCAAATCTCTTGTCAAGTCATTTGATTGGTTGTTGATAATTCAGTCAACCAATCAGATGACTTGACAAGAGATTAAATTGATTTTAACATTGATCGGCCTTTCGGAAACCCGGTGTAAGACTGATATAGGAATTTATAGAATTAAATTCAGTTATTTATTACAGCCAACCTTATGGTGAAAGAAATTAATTCCAGCCATAAAACAAAGATAGTTTTTCATCTTCCCTATTTTTTTCATCTAATTAAGAATTATCTAGCATTTTCTGAAAAAAACACTAGTCAAACGAGTAGAATCCTATGTAGCGATAATGGCGAATCCATTTGAATTATTCGACAAAAGCTTTTTACAGTTTATTTAACCGAATTTGATCTTTATTTCACGGGCGTAAAAGTTATCAGTGTAGCTGTTTTAATTTTGTATTTAGATGATTCTTAAAGACACCGACATTAACTATCACTAAAAACTAGTATAAAACGAACTCATTTTCTCTGTCCCTATATCTCTATGTATGCTTAAATCTTTAAAACTACACAACGGATTTTGATGCGATTTTTTAATAGATAGAGCGATTGAAGAGGAAGGTTTATATGTATGATGACATCCATTAAATAGTGGAGAAATTTAATACCAGCTTTGCACCCGTGTTGAGCTTGGGCGGGTCGCTAGTATTTTGTTCGCGTGGAGGAAACTAAAAAGCTAGTTTACTCATATTAGAGCGGCGAAACACGCCTTCAAGAATATAGAGATAAAACGCTGAATATGTCCAACCGACTTCAAAGACAAACACAGTTAAATAAGCTAATGAAATGGCATTTTTTAATTAATTAATGTCTTTCTTTATTAATTTAATTAATCATCGCTATCAACATAGGATTCTTCTGACCAGTGTTAATGTGTATTTCTTCGGTACCAAAATCTTGCTCGGTAATCGTCACTGCATGTCAAAAACGCCGGCGCCGTGCCCGAATGCACTATGAATCTGTAATAAAATTGCTTGTGTTGGTGATCTCGGGTTGCTTGGATCGGGGATTAATGTTTTTTTCCATATTGCGTTATATCTCGTTAAATTATATTTGGAGTAACATCATATAACATTCATTGATTTATTAATAAAAAAGCATTGTAAGTTCGAAATAATTAATAGGTATACCGGGTAAGTTCGGGTTACTTTGACACTGCGGGATAACTTTGATCCAAACCCTTTAACTAATATTAACTGAGAACCAAACACATATTCGTTTATCATTGGTTCGAAAATTTGGATCGATGTTACCTCCCAGGGTCAAAGTAACCCGAACTTACGGTACTTACATTTAATAAAATTTTAACTTCTCGGTGCCTAAACCTAGCAAAATAAGATATTATTACTCCAATAAACACTAGTTACTCAGTTTACTCAAACTGGTGATTAACGATTACATTTTACTCAATGTGGTGATTAACAATAAAAACTCACCTGACAGCTCCATTGTGTCCCAGAGACATTAGTTGGCACCTACTGGCACTACGAGAGTGCCAAGTACAGAGTGAAGTGGTCGCTTCATCGGGGAACATAACGTAATCTTCAGTGTGATTAAATACTGCTTGAGCGTGGTGTTCTTGCTTGCCTTGGGGATTAAAAAGTGAAAATTAATGTTAAATTATTATTTTATTATTAATATAACGAAAAAGTGTCGTGGTGGCCCCGAGGTTACGGCGCCCGCTTCTCAAGCATGAGGTTTCGAAACCTGGCAAGTACCAATGTGACTTTTTCCGAGTCATACATACTTTCTATGATTATTTAGACACCACTGACATACAGTGAAGGTAAAAATCGTGAGGAAACCTGGACTTATAATTTCTAATTATAAGTTTGAAATGCCAACCCGCATTGAGCAAGCGTGGTGATTAATGCTCAAACCTTAACTGCGTGAGAAGAGGCCTTTGCTCAGCAGTAAGCAGCTTATAGACTGATGATGATGATAACGAAACGAAAAGCAGTATAAGGTAACATATGTATGACTAATTAAGCCGGTTTTTTTTTTTGAGAGGAGAAGAAATCATTTCTTCTCTCATTCTTTGTGAGGCGAGAGGGAGTGTCAGACTCTTACTGACTAAAAACCACCCCGCTTCTCTTTCTTCTTCCCCGTTTCATCATGGCGCTTGCACCAGACCAACTAAATGTATCAAAATTATTTACCTGTAGTCCCCGCACCGGTATATTGTATAAGACATCGGCTACTAGCCAACTCCCATAACTTAATAGACGAATCCAGGCCAGATGTCAGCAAATACTGCAAAAAACAAATCAAATTCTTTATTTCAAGTAGCCCACAAAAGGCACTTTTGAACGTCAAGCAAAAAAGATATCATAAGGTTTAACTTTATGTGTCAGTCTGTCCGTCTGTCCTCTAGTGAAGCTATTAATTGGTAGATTTCGAATATCACCATGAGAAAACCGTTACTTAGGACGAATGGGATGACTCAAACGGAGTGATACCCACGGCTTTAAGAGAAAACCGGCGTGAAACAACCACAACGTTGTGGTTCGCCGTGTGAGTGAGGTTTACGAACGCCCAATCCTTCCCCTCCCCCAATACCTAAATCTCCGAATCTCTAATCCCCAAAAGGTCGGCAACGCACTCGTAAGACTGAAACATTTTGACTACATGACTGCACGGTTGGTGCGGTAACTGGCTGCCGTGCAACGTGTCGCGTGTTCCATTCCCGCACGGAACAACTCTTTGTGTGATGCACAAATTGTTGTTCCGGATCTGGGTGTGATGTGTATGTGAAATTGTATGTTTGTAACCGCACCCACGACACAGGAGAAAATCCTAGTGTAAGGCAACGTCATAAATAAAAAATGGGTGTCCATGGGCGGCGCTGATTGCTTACCATCAGGTAATCCGTCAGCCCGTCTGCCGAACTATCGCATCAAAAAACAATATATGTATTTCTTACCTTGCTATTCCTAGTAAAAGCGACGGAACACACTTCAGATCCGTCGTGTGCATTGATAAATGTATTAAAACATCTATTGGACACAGTGTCCCAAAGTTTGACGCATCCATCCGCACTGCCGCTAGCAAAGTATTTCCCGTTCGGCGAAAATCTGTTGGTAGGATGAAAGAAAAAAAAATTTAATTATTTATTAAAGAAATGATCGGAGTTTGAGTTTTTGACTTTTGACATTTACGAAATTTTACGTCATTTTTGACTTTTTGACATTTTTTATAAATACATTTTTTTTTTGTAATTTTTGACTTCTTGACTTGACTTGACATACGAAATTTTTCGTTATTTTTGACTTCTTAGTTTATAAAATATACGATTCTTTTCGTTATTTTAACTTATTGACACTTTTGACATATTCGAAATACTTGACATTTTTGTCGTACTGAAAGAGAGACTTTTGACATATTCGAAATTTTTGACTTACCTATTGACAGATACGAATTTTTTGTCATTTTTGACTTATTGACTATTTGACTTTTTTACATTTTGACTTTTCACTTTTGTCAATTTTTTATTACTAATTCCGATATTTGTACTTACTGTATAGAATTGACTTGTTTTGTATGATGATGGGATGGTATCGGGCACACGAAACAAGCGCTGGTTGTGACGTCATACAGCCGAATTACTGGCTGCGTGCTTGAGGCTATTATATGGTCTCCGAGAGGGTGGAAGGCCACGCATAGAACCTGTTCTGCATCCTAGAGTGAAAAATAGACCAAAATAGTGTTATTTTCAATGAGAAGTTACAATAAATTAATCAAATCAAATACTTTTTTGGAATTGAGAAAATCAAAACAGTTTTCTATAATTTTTTACGGGATCGTGTGTTGTGTGATAAGTTTCTAGAAAATTACTGATACTAATTAAAGTGTCGTCGAAATCAATTTTGATTATGCTTTTAAATACTTAATTGCGCTGAAATCTCCAAAAAAATGAGCAATGTAATACCCATTTTTTGTGAGAGTGAAAAATCATCAAATGACTTCCCCCACCCAGGGATGGGGCAGGACTTTCAGACTTTTACTGACTTAAAACACCCTGTTCCTTCTCCTGCTCTAGGCCAAGGCCGCGGTGGCTTATTGCGCTTACTCCACAACCCCGGCTGAATCTACCTACAGGGATTAATAGGGGGATAATTTGGAAAAAAAACCTTTAAAGATACTCACAGTGATAGATTTATAAGCTTTCTTGGCGGACGCTTTGGTAATGTCAAATAGTTTAATGGAACAATCCCGAGACGCGGACACCAGGATCTGTTCGCGGGGATGGAAATCTAGGGCTGTAATCTCGTCCGTGTGGTCGTATCTAGGGAAATTAAAGAAAACGAATTATCATAAAAGAATGATATACCCTCTTGAGTTTTTTTTTATAAAAAACGTTGCCCCATTTTAGGATTTTCTCCTGTGTCGTGGGTGCGGTTACAAACATACAATGTCACGTACACATGACATCCAGACCCGAAACAACAATTTGTGGATCACACAAAGTGTTGTTCCGTGCTGGAATCGAACTCGCGACACGTTGAACGGCAGCCAGTTGCCCAGCCACCGCACCAACCGTGCAGTCAATCGGACAAGTGAGTGAGGGTATCGGATCCTACCTTGAGTGAGGTTATCCGAAGTGAATCGAATAACCTCACTCAAGGCTAAACGTCACGCAGTTCTTTAAAAAAAGGTTGTCCCAAACATAGCATTTCCCTTGGGTCATAGGTGCGTTTACACTTTTGAAATTTCACACACACCCAGACATGGAACAACAATTTGTGGCAAACAAAAAATTTTTGCGAGCGAGAATCGAAACCGCTCCACGTCGCACGGAAGCCAGCTGCCTACTCAATACTCAATACTTTATTGCTTTCCACGTGTATTCTTAGGTGGTAGTACTTATAAATAGTTCACATGGACCCTGTCGGGCACAGCAAAGTAAGTGGGATAGGAGAGAGGAAGCTCTTATCGGCTATGTTACTTATTTTTGTTGACTAAGTGTCAGTGCTGTGATTGTTTCACGCCGGTTTTGCTGTGAAGCCGTGGTATCACTCTGGTCTAACGTGCCCATGCCTCTCCTACACTTAGCCTTGCACTTATCAAAGTAAATATAAACGAATAGATCTCACAATGTCCTGATGACGGGATGACCCTGCTGTTCCCTCCCAGGATCCACTTCTTCAGGCGCTGACTTGGCCAACATACGTTCCACATCCAGAATCTAAAACAAACAAACAAAAACTCAAGCATTCATTACTTATAAATAAGTTTTCTTGATACATAACTTCATCATCATCAGCTTATAAGTGTCCACTGCTGAGCAAAGGCCTCTTCTCACACGGAGAAGGTTTGAGCATTAATCACCACGCTTGCTCAATGCGGGTTGGCCATTTCAAACTTATAATTAGAAATTACAAGTCCAGGTTTCCTCACGATATTTTCCTTCACCTTATGTCAGTGGTGTCTAAATAATCATAGAATGTAAGTACATATAACTGGGGAAAGTCACATTGGTACTTGCTTGGTTTCGGACCCGCACCCTCAAGCTCGAGAAGCGGGCGTCTTAACTTGCGGGCCACTAAGAAAAGTTATGTATAAGTATGTAGATTGTGGGCAGGCCTCCCGCTACGTGGACCGACGACATTGTCAGAGTCGCGAAGAGCCAATGAAAGCAGGTGGCGAGTTGTCGTTCGACGTAGAGGACTAAGAGGAGGCCTTTGTTCAGCAGTGGACGTCTTTCGGCTGTTGATGATGATGATTTTTTTGGACGCCGGCTACTTATATTCATATTGTAGTCAAATAATTCAAAGATTTGTATAATAACTATCGTCAGACATGAAAAAAAATATTGAAACTAGCTACTTTTGTAAATGTAATAATGAATATCAATAAATATCAATTAACACTTTTATAGTGCATACAGGGATAATTGCCGGCTGATGTCCCATCACATTTAGATTAAAATTGTTTAACGGGCCTCTGCTAGTTGTCTTCGGCTCCTCGTATGCCTTCCAAAGGTCTGGGACCCTGTGGTCCCGTGAAAAGAAAGAATATCAATATAATTGCTGTCTTCAGGCTGATCATGGAGATACCTAACCTTTCTATAAATGAATTTGAGTTACGAAGTTTGGATGTTTTGATGTTTGCTACTCAATCATGCCAAAACGGCTGGACGGATCTGGATGAAATTTGGCACAGGCATAGGTTACACTCCGGAATAGGACAGAGGCTACTTTTTATCTACACCACGCGGGCTAAACCGACGGAAACTAGTTTTAAATATACATTAAACTTAATTTAATACCTTAATAGAAGCATCCACAGAGCCAGTAGCGACCAATTGGCCACAAGCACTGAACGCACCAGCTCGACACGCCATCTTGTGGGAAGTGACGTAAGCAGTCTCATAAGTAGCCGGTTCTGGTGCTAGAGAGGACGCGTCCATTTCGTATTCCAAGTCTGAGAAGAGAAAAAATATAATCTATACTAATAATATAAAGAGGTAAAATTTGTAAGTTTGTATGTAGGGGGTAATCTTTAGAACCGCTGGTCGAATTGCCAAAATTCTTTCACTGATAGATAGCTACAATGTTCCAGAGTGCTATAGGCTATAAAACATCACGGTGCGATTAAATGGAGGCGAGCAGCGGGTGAAACCGCGCTAGAGTAGCTAGGAAACAATAAATTGACTGCACGGTTGGCGCGGTGGCTGGGTCTGTCGCGGTCTCGATTATTCCGGGTCTGGGTGTGATGTGTGATGTGAAATTGTATGTTTTTATACCATCAGGAGTAAATTCCTACCACTATGTGTCAACTGTATATAGATACCACTGACATATGATAAAGGAAATTGCCTATCAATCATAATAATGCAAAGACCTTCTCTGTGAGAAGAGATCTTTACGCAGCAGTAGGCTTATGATCTTATGATTATGATTGCGATAATATATGTCACTACTCACCAAATCCAGTAGTCCCGAGTAGATGTTCAGCTCCGCTGGAAGCTGCAAGCCTGTCCTTGCGGTCCGGTTCATGTTGGAGACCCACCATCATCAGATTCAGGAGTCTAGACAAAATATAACATAAACATTTGAAATATTTATGATGAAATATATATTTACATACTGTTTCAATATCTTACATTTTTATCTTTGCATCTATTAGATTAGATTTCACTTTCCAATTAGATTTTATTATAATCTAACAAACAACCCATCCCGGTCTTTCAATCCTGATACTAAATTTCTTCATGTATGTTATCTATATATATAAAAATGAATCGCAAAATGTGTTGGCAAGCGCATAACTCAACAACACCTAAACCAATTTTGCTAATTCTTTTTTTGTTATGTTTGTTATTGTCAGGAGAAGGGTTCTTATCAAAGAAAATATTAGAAAAGTAGAGGGGAAAATTGGAAAAACTGACCCTTTCATATCGAGATAGTTGGACCCGTGTGAAGCAGGGGTGGGCCGCTAGTTATACATATAAAACGGCCTGTTCAACCACTCTATCTATTAAAAATAAACACATCAAATTCTGTTACGCAGTTTTGAAGATTTAAGCATACATACGGATATAGTGCCTGAGAGTGTGACTTTGTGTAGTAATAAATAATATGAATTTGAAGATGAAGACAAAAATAATTCATTTTGCAAATCATACAAAGACAAATAAATATTTGTGGTTTTTATTTAAATTGGGTGATTGGCACCCAGTTTAACTAAACATCACAGCAGCCATATGTTACTGACGCAAAAAACTATATAAGATCTTTTAAACTTGTATGTTTCATATTTATAACATGTAATTATGTGGGTATGAATGCTACCAAGCCTACCAAGGTATTTAAATAATCATTTATTATATGTTGTAACTATATAAGATCAGAATAAGAATTCAAAGAATTCAATAAAAAAACAAAAGCACTATATGTCTAAAAAAGCTTTGTTTACTAACAAATACATATTTTGTAAGTCAAGTCTGGTTTTCAGGACCCGTTTTATATCTGATAAGTTTCTATAGGTACCTATTCAAATCTTGTATTTAGAAAAACAACGGTTGGAAAGACCAGTTGGACCTACAAATCATAATTTTATTTATTGTGAACCTGTTTAGTAACTTTATTTTACTAACCTGTCGCTGGGCGGGCAAGGAGGCTCCGCATGAACCGCCGACGCCAAAGTAGCGGCAATAGGCTGGAATCCATCGTAGTACAATTGACTGAAAAAGAAAAAGAAAATAATGAGCATCAAATCTAACCTCTTCATTTAGACGTATTTAACCTAGAAATTTTAACAAATGGTGGTATTAAACTCGAGATTAAATAGTATTTAAGAGAATTCAATACGTTATTTGTGATTATTTACATTTGTTTTTGATGTTTTGACAAAAATATTTGCGTAGAACTTGGCAACGTATACCTACAGTTTTAAAACGAAAAACGTACACTAATTACCTTATTATCATGCGGTACAGCAGCTCCCGGTTCTTAACGACATTTCTCGTATCAATTTCTCCAGGAGTATCCTTCATTTTGTTAGTTTTAAAACATTTATTGCTAAAAACCGGCAAACAAACAAACTTTGTCGAGGTTATGTTTGACAACACAATGACATTTCTAAGTCTTTTGTCTATGCCCTAAAGGTATGGTTTAGCTAAGCGATTTTGAGATTCGTTTGAAAAATCGACTAAAACTGGGCAAGCGCGCGGACAAACTAAAGTACTTCACAGTAATTCAGTTTAGTTGAATAACCTTAGGTTTCAAAGGGAAGGGGAGCACTAATCAATAATTGCGCGCATGCGTAATGGACCCTTTACATTACGTTGAACTTCAAAGGTACCTATGAAATTATATGCACGACTTAACAAAACGGGATGAGCAGTGGTTAATGAAATGTTTCTAAGCGTGTGCATAATCTACGCTTTACGATTAAACACAAACAATTGTGAGATGAATCAGATCAATGAATTTACAGAGGAAATTATATTTTAAACTAAGACATTATTTATTTCGATGGAAACGAACTTCTTTCAAATTCAAATTTAAATGTTAATTTGTTGTAAAATGTTAATTTCCATAGTGGCACATTAGGTGTTATGTAACTTCTACTTTGAGTTGAATCCCTGATGGGGTCAGAGGTGCTTAAATACGTACAATACAAAACTCAACTTTAACCAGTATTAATATTAGATTCCACTATAAAGGAAAGTAATGGATCTGATAATCACATAATTACAAAAATAACATATTTATTTTTATTTATTTATTTTTTCTACCTGAAAATTTTATCATTATCCGAGCTACCTGAGAATCTTTGTGGAGGGAAAATCGACTCTGTTCTCAATAAAACTTTCTGATCGCTGAAACTTAACCTTTATATTTATGAACACAACATATTCAATATTTATACGAACGAACAATGGTTTAGCTGGTGATGCTATGCCAATTTTAAACGTATGTTTTAAGTTTGGGTGATGCTTGCACTGAATTGAATTGAATCAAATCCATGCTTCGGTACGAATTGGCTGGCTCGACCGAAGAAGCACAGCAACACCACCAAATATGATAATTATGACGGACATATGATACGACGACTGGGAAAACAACTGTGCAACTGTGCAATGTGTCGAGAATTTAATTCCGGCTCGGAACAAGTCTTTGTGTGATCTAAAGATTCTTGTTCCGTGTCTGGTCTCTTTTTGTCAGGGGAAAATTATCAAATAGCTTCTCTCAGTCAGGGTAAGGCGAGAGAGTAAATTTGTGTCGGACTGTGTCTGACTAAACCCCTCCCCCTCCCCCGTTCCTTGTTCTTCTTCTCTTGCTTTAACCCGAAGCCGCGGTGCCACATTGCGCCTACCCCGTAACCCTGGCTAAACAGCCCTATGGGGCCCCGTCTTTGGTGGTCTATTGGCTCTTTGAGGCGCGCGCGGAACGCTACGCGCCGTTCGGATCTGGTTGTGATGTTGTGGCGACGTTACAAGTCTAACATTACACACAAGTGAAGTTTTCGCGCTAATAAACACGGATAGAAAATCCTAACTTTTGGGCAGTAAGAATGATCACCTCGCCTGCTCGGAGGATCTTCCATTTCCAATCTGAGGGAACTTTACTCTCTATTCCCTAATCTGGTAACGCCGACCTGATTGGAAGCAACCTTCATTTCACGGATCAAGTCAGCACCGTCATCGCCATCCCCTTTGCCCATAACTATCCCACGAACTAACGCAACACTAAACTTCTCCGCTGATCGGTAACCAAGTCGTAGCCATCCAGAATTATGTTTATTATGAAAACTTTGCCCCACACTAGGATTTTTTCATGTGTCTTAAATGCGTTTTGAAAATTCTCATACACAAGCCATCCAGACGCGAAAAAACAATTTGTAGATCACACAAAATGTTGTTCCATGCGGGAATCGAACACAAGCTTGCAGCGAAGCTGTGTGAGCCCTGGTCTTTCCTACGTCCTTATCAGCCTGTCCTAGCGTAGGCACGACACTTCTGCAAACGGCAAGTCAAGATCACCTCGCCTGGTCGGAAGATCCTCCCCCTATCCCGATCTTAGAGAACTCTCTGTTCCCTAAAATGTGTATTGAAATTGATTGTTTGTAAACGTACCCTAGGGAAACTTGAGCCCTGGGCCTTCGGAAACAAGAGAAAAACAGATTAAAGTCCTTCACAGTTACTTAATTTGATGTTGTTATGAGGTAACGCTAAAATGTATATTGCCAAATTGTCCCCAGGTGCTGCTGACTGGCTGTAGGTGCGTGGAGCTGGACTGCTGGGACGGAGACGACGGTAGCCCTGTCATCTATCATGGGCATACCTTTACCACGAAGATACCATTTCGAAGAGTGGTGGAAACTATTGCTAGGTTAGTTTTCTTGCTTATATCATCTACCCAGATCACAATGATTATTAATACGGTAGTTTCCAACTAGTCAAATTCAAAACTTTTATCCAAAAAACCAAATGTCAAAAACGATACTTTTCTATGCGTCAAATAGCTTACTTATTTCTTAAAAAATAGCTAATAATTAATCAAAAAAGTAATGTATCGATCGAGCGATTTTTTTTATGTAATTGATCGGCAAACGAGCGGATTACCTGATGATAAGCAATCAGCGTCGCCCATAGACACCCGCAACGGAGGAGTTACGAGTGCGTTGTCGATCTTTTAGGGAATTGGGCCTCCGGTAACCTCACTCACACGGCGAAACACACCGCTGTGTGTGTGACCGATGAATAAAACTATAGTTATTTTTCAATATTTTATTGTAGGTATTGAAACGTCTAATTAATTTATTTTTGACCTAGGAAACTACACAATTCTATCCAAACTAATATTATAAATGCGAAAGTAACTCTGTATGTCTGTCTTTTCTTCACGCCTAAACTACTGAACCCATTTGCGTGAAAGGTCCAGATATAGTTTGGAACTCGAGAAAGGGCATAGGATAGTTTTTTTAACCAAAAATCTGCAGGAAGTCACTATTCCACGCGAACAAATTTGTGCGCAAAAGCCAGTTATTATCATTATAAACGCGACAGTTCATTTAAGTACCTATTCGTAGACAGAAGTTTATTACTCTTTTACATAAAAAAAACTACTTCTTGAAGTGATAGGGCGGCAAACGAACAGGCCAATTACCTGATGGTAAGCAATGAGCGCCACCCATGGACATGCGTAACAACAGAGGAGTTAGGTACCAGTACCAGCGTTGCCGACATTTTGGGAATTGGGATTTGAAGATTTTGGGATTAGGCATTTGGTGATTCTGAAAACAAAAACTTAATTCACTTAGAAAATCCATACTAATATTAAATGTAAAGCGATAAACAAACAAACAAACAAAAAGTATTTATTCGCGTCTGGGACGCATAAAAGACACAAAACGAACAATAATAAAAATAAAGGTAAAAATAAAAATACATTAAGAATTATACTACAATATAACAAAAGTAGAGGGTAGGAGAAAAATATGCGTCCAAGCACGCGAAATGGCCCTCGCTCAGCATAATGCAACGACCCCATACGAGACAGTGTCGCGGCGCTGATTTTCAGCGATGGCCGACACCAACGCACGACGCCAATCAGTGCAGAAACTTAAGCTAAGTTAAATACAAAAATGTGTTTCATAGTCGATAGCTCGACTCGACTAAAATATGCAAATCAAGTATAATTTACAGCCTGTATAACACTCGGGAACATTGTAGCTATCTATCAGTGAATGAATTTTGGCAATCCGACCAGCGGTTCCAAAGATTACCACTACATTCAAATTTTCAAATTTTATAATATTAAGTGCTAGCTACTCTCGCGCGGTTTCACCCGCTGCTCAGCTCCATTTGATCGCAGCGTGATGTTTATAGCCTATAGCACTCAGGAACATTGCAGCTATCTATCAGCGAAAGAATACCCCCTACTGTACATACAAACTTACAAATTTTCAAACTTACAAACATACACATTTTACCAACTTTTTTTTATGTAATAGGTCGGCAAACGAGCAGACAGATTACCTGATGGTAAGCAATCAGCGCTGCCCATGGACACCCGCAACGAAGGAGTGACGAGTGCGTTGCCGACCTTTTAGGGATTAGGGATTTGGAGATTTAAGGATTGAGGAGGGATTAGGGGAGGGGAAGGATTGGGCCTCCGGTAACCTCACTCACACGGCGAAACACAACGCTGTGGTTATTTCACGCCGGTTTACTGTGAGGCCGTGGTATCACTCCGGTCGAGCCGACCCATTCGTGCCGAAGCTTGGCTCTCCCACACTTTAAACTTATTTACTAACTTTAACTTTTAATAACTTACAAATGTTACCTCTTTATAATATTAAGTATAAGTATAGATTATCTGTTTCACCTAAAAATATGTCTGTCTCTCTTGTACAGGAGTGCGTTCGTGGCGTCTCCGTATCCACTTATCCTGAGCATAGAGAACCACTGCAGTCTACCACAGCAACAAGTGATGGCTAGCACTTTTGAGGTCTGTTATTAACTTTCCCTTCATGTAGATACTAACTTAACTAAGTATAGGCCATGAGTCATGAAATCGCCAACCGGCATTGAGCAAGCGTGGTGATTAATGCTGTAACCTTCTCCGTATGAGAAGAGGCCTTTGCTTAGCAGTGGGCACTTATAGGCTGATGATGATGATGATGATGATGATGAATGAGGCTTTTGCAGATTCGGCTTTTTGATCATTTAACATGTAATTATTCTGCGATTTTTTCTTGTTTGATCGTGGTGGCCCGGAGGTTAAGGCGCCCGCTTCTCGTGGATGAGAGTGCGGATACGAAACGTGGCAAATACCAATGTGACTTTTTCCGAGCTATATGTAATTTCTATGATTATTTAGACACCACTGACATACGGTGAAGGTAAACGTCGTGAGGAAACCTGGACTTTTAGTTTATAATTTTAAGTTTGAAATCGCCAATCCGCATTGAGCAAGCTTTAATGTTCAAACCTTCTCCGTGTGAGATGAGGCCTTTGCTCAGCAGTGGGCACTTATAGGCTGATGATGGGAAGTGATTCTTGTTTGTGCACATAGCTGTATGGCATAGATGAACAGTCTAAGTTCCAAGCACAGGATTTCATACAAACTTTCAAGTCCAAGTCCCGGGAACTACTGAATCGATTTTGATAAAGCTTGATACAAGAAAAATATGAAGGTCTACCTACAGGAACTGAGCCGATCCTGCTTCTCTCTCACTCTTGCTGTCCTCTTGCTTGCGGAACGCGACAATAAGCGTAAGGGGACAATGACGTCATCTTTTCCGTGCGTACAGCTCGTAGTACCACGTAAAAAACCGCATCAAAATCCGTTGCGTAGTTTTAAAGATATAAGCGTACATAGGGATATAGGGACAGAGGAAGCGACTTTGTTTTATACTGTATAGTGACACATATTTTAGAGGTATGAGAGAACAGGCTGGAAAGTTCCTCATCCTCCATTGAAAAGGGAGGATACTCCGACCAGACGAGTGTTATATCTGGTGGGCTACTGCCCGACTATTGCTGTCAGGATTTTGTATCGGTGCTAATTGTGTAGAGAACTCTTATACCGCGATGTAGAATCTTGCACGTGATTGGTGCTGTTGTTACTGTTGTGCGATAGATGTCGCTACAATATTAAAAGCTGATACTCTATTGACCTTGTCTTCATCCAGGCAGTGTTTGGAGAAAAACTGGTCACATCATTCCTCTTTGAAGTGGACTACACAGACGAACCGAGGCTACCTAGTCCAGAGCAACTTAAATATAAGGTAAGTAACTATTATTTAGTGCCCTAGCTACGTTGACCAGTCCAGACAGGGTTTCGAGTGCCCGTTTGGCGCGAAATGTGTCGCGGTTTACGGTCACGGAGCGACTCTTTGTGTGATCCACAAATTGTTGTTCCGGGTCTGGGTGTGATGTGTATGTGAAATTGTATGTTTGTAAACGCACCTACGACATAGGAGAAAATGCTTGAGTGGGGCAACGTTTCCTCTATCTATATATATAAAAGTGGATCGCAAAATGTGTTGGTAAGCGCATAACTCAAGAACTCCTATAGGTACCAATTTTGCTAATTCTTTTTTTGTTGTATTTATTATAGTTAGGAGAAGGTTCTTATCAAAGAGAATATTAGTAAAGTAGAGGAGAAAATTGGAGAAAACTGACCCTTTTGTTGTTAGGATAGCAAGACCCGTGCGAAGTGAGGGTGGGCAGCTATTTTTGACACAAATAAAAACAAGACAGGTTTGCGAGTGAAAGGGCTTACCGTGGCCTCTGTCTTTAGCAAGAGAAAGGAAGGTATGGCTTTTATTCAGTAAAAGTCTGATACTCCCATCTCGACTCTTTCTCAAATGAAGCCATTTGATAAATTTCCTGGCTCAAAACAAAGCCACATTGCATCGTGTTTTTGGCATTGTTACCCAATCTTTACCCTCCAATCTCTAGATCTCGAAATCTCGTGATGGGGCGATGGCGCCAGAGCGACAAATTCTGGGGGGCGCCAAGGTATGAAGTTGGGAGTCTCTTGCCTCTCCTAGTCTGCAAAAACCCTCAGAACTGTACTCTACGCTCTGTACACATGCAATTTTTTATTTTACTTGGGATCAGATAAAATAATTAACACTTGATATTGCTTCCCTCAAGTGGGCGCCACGATATTTTCGCTCGGGGCGTCAGTGGCCCTTACCGGCACTGTATTAGTGTGGATTTTCTACCTGATTTAGGTGTTTGTTTGCAGGTTTTAATAAAGAATAAAAAGTTGCTTCCTATTGAGGCGAGTCCAACGATGGGGCTGACTGGAGCCAGCTCAGCGCAGGGATACAGCGGAGTATTATCCACAGCTTTCAGGTAAATTAAAAAAAAATATAGAATAAGCGACCCGTCCCGGCTGCGCACGGGTGCTGATACTAAATTTCTCCACTATTTAATGGATAGATGTTAGAGGCTCGGTCAGCTAACGAGCAGACGGATTACCTACCTGATGGTAAGCAATCAGCGCCGCCCATGGACGCCGCAACGAAAGAGTTAAGAGTGCGATGCCGACCTTTTAAGAATTAGGGATTTGGAGATTTAGGGATAGGGGAGGGATTGGTGAAGGGGAAAGATTGGGCCTCCGGTAACTTAAGTCACACAACGCTGTGATTGTTTTACGCCGGTTTTCCGTGAGGCCGTGGTATCTCTCCGGTCGTGTTGACACTTTCATACCTAAGCATGGTTCTCCCATTATTTAATTACTAGCTTTATCCCGCGACTTGTTCGCGTGGAATAATGACTTCCTGCAGATTTTTGTTTTAAAAAACTATCCTATGTCCCAAATTTCACACAAGTAGGTTCAGTAATTTAGGCGTGAGGAAAAGACAGACAAACAGAGAGAGTTACTTTAGCATTTATAGTATTAGTTTGGATGAGGTACTATTGTATACTTATAATTATAAGTTTGAAATCGCCAATCTGCATTGAGCGAGCGTGGTGGTTAATGCTCAAACCTTCTCCATGTGAGAGGAGGCTATTGCTCAGCAATGGGCATTTATAGGCTGATGATGTGCAATATGTGGACACTTATTTCCATTCTTGTTCCAGGTCCAACGGCATCCGTCACACTAGTACCTCGCTCCCCGAACAGAGTAACAGGACCAGCTCGATCATGTCCAACCAGTCTGCTGGAAGCTCGCTGACTGAATACTTCTCTGATGAAGACTACGATGAAGACGATGAGGATTTAGATGGTAAGGAGTTCGTGAGACTTATTGAGGGACAGGTCTTTTAATAAGCAGACGGATTACCTGATGGTAAGCAATCAGCGCCGCCCATGGACACTGGTAATACCAAAGGAGTTACTACTAGTGCGTTGTCAGGATCTGTTAGATTGTTATGGATTTGGAGATGGATGATGTTAGAGGTAGGTAGGATTGTGGCCACTGGTAAGCTCACTCACACGGCGAAACACTACGTTGTAGTTGTTTCACGCCGGATTTCTGTAAGGCCTTGGTATGACTCCGGTCGAGCCGACCCATTCGTGCTGAAGCATGGCTCTCCCACACTTTATTATGCATACAGGAATAAATGCCGACTGATGTCCCATTTTACTAATATGAAAGTTTTTATTATAACTTTCGTGAGACTAAATTAATTATTATGTTTTTGGCTTACGTAATAATTTGATGAGATACTCGACTAGTTTCAAGCCATGCTAGTGCCAGTAGCAGAGCGACAGTCGCCGAGTCGCGTGTCGCGACTGCTGCTCATGAATATGGGCCTCTAGCATGGCTTGAAACTACGTGAGTAAGCCGAAAACATTATGATTAATAATAAAGTTATTCAAAAGGCCCCGCGAGTTGGCTTCGGCCCTTCCAAAAGTCCAGGACCGTAAACCTGTGGTCCCGTGAATCGAAGTGAAAGTAATAATTATAATAAATTTTCAGTGCCACAAAGTTAACAGAAAATTTAGAATTAACATGTTACACAAATCGGCCATCATTTTCCCTAAAAAAAACAATTTCTCTTTCAGAGAAAGAACTGCACAAGATTCTAAACTCTATGGAAGACAAATGTGGTCGGACCTCTCTTTCCCTCTACCAGAGTTTTCGTAGGAGCGAGGGAGACGCAGAAACTACTTCTGGCAGCATCAAACACGCTCCTACTAGAAAACGAAGTAATCAAATCGCGAGGGAACTCAGTGACATGGTGACTTATGTACAGGTATGTGAATATAGGAAATTGGACTTTATTTTGTGTGGGTTAAGTTAATTTTAGTTTATTTAGCATGTGTGTCAATTTTATTACCATCTACTTTGATTGAACATTACGTTCCCGAATGAGGCAACGTTAAACAGAGCATTTCATAACTTCAATGAAACAATGGAGGGATCACTTACTGGACAGCACTGGTACAACACTTGACTTAAGACTGACCAAGAGACTGACTTTTGATCTTTAAATATTCCTTTGACTTTCAAAAGTGCATGCTCACGCACTGTAATGGTGTAATTGAATTAATTGTTTTCACTTCGCCTTCGCGTTAGCGTTCGCCTTCGCGTTCGCGGTCGCGTTCGCCTTCGCGTTCGCCTTCGCGTTCGCCTTCGCGTTCGCGTTCGCGTTCGCCTTCGCGTTCGCCTTCGCGTTCGCCTTCGCGTTCGCCTTCGCCTTCGCCTTCGCCTTCGCCTTCGCCTTCGCCTTCGCCTTCGCCTTCGCCTTCGCCTTCGCCTTCGCCTTCGCCTTCGCCTTCGCCTTCGCCTTCGCCTTCGCCTTCGCCTTCGCCTTCGCCTTCGCCTTCGCCTTCGCCTTCGCCTTCGCCTTCGCCTTCGCCTTCGCCTTCGCCTTCGCCTTCGCCTTCGCCTTCGCCTTCGCCTTCGCCTTCGCCTTCGCCTTCGCCTTCGCCTTCGACTTTGACTTTGCCTTTACTATTGACCTGATTTTGATTTTGACTTTGACTACCGCGAGTTCAGTCTCCGTACAAAAAATCCTTTGTGTGATCCGCAAACTGTTGTTCCGGGCCTTAGTGTGTTGTGTACGTACAATTTCGTGTAAGTAACGCACGACACAGGAGGATAATTTTGACGTGTAAAACTGTCATTTTATTACCTATTCGCAAAACTAAATTCATTATTTCATAAAATTGTAAACAAAACATATACAATAATATTTATATTTTCACAGGCGATCAAGTTCCGTGGTCTGAACCCCTTATCACCTCGGAGTTCTATGAAACAACCCAGCAATATTGTCAAGGAAACGGCGCCGGGTAGCAGCTTCGAGTCTTCGGAGAGTAGCGATAGTACTAGTACGGTAAGCAAATTAACGCGAATTGACGTCATAACACTGTATATTTTTTTTTTTGTAATAGGACGTCAAACGAGCAGACTGATTACCTGATGGTAAGCAATCAGCGCCGCCCATGGACATCTGCTACATACAACAGAAGAACTACGAGTGTATTGCCGATCTTTTCAGGATTAGGGACGTAGAGATTTAGGAATTGGGAAGGGATGGAGGTAAGGGAAGGGATTGGGCCTCCGGTGAACATAACGCTGTCCTGGTTCACGTTGGTTTTCTGTGAGGCCGTGGTATCACTCCGGTCGAGCCGACCCATTTGTGCCGAAGCATGGCTCTCCTACACTTTTAGTATAAGTATCGAGTTATTAGACGTTGTCACCTCAAAAATTATAATTTGGACCAGCCGTGGTTAGGGTTCCAAAGACAGACCTCATACTTCATTTGAAGACAGACAATAAATTCTTATTTATTATAATTTATTGCAGATAGCTCAACAACCCCGACCTAGATGTCTGAACGCTCCAGCAGTCCACCATCCCTGCTACCGATGCTCCTCAGTAAACGAAGCGATTGGAAAGAAAATATGCAGGAAACACCCCATGGCACTGATTGCACACACAGAAACACAACTTGTTAGAACGTATCCCGCCGGGTATGTATCTCATAACATAACTTAGCGTCACATAACATGACGTGACATAACATGACGTGACTATCTTGGTATGTCTTTTTATATTATAGAGGTCGCATTTTTTATGGGGCATATCGGTAAACGACCAGATGGATTACCTGATGGTAAATAATCGGCGCCGCCCATAGACACCCGCAACACTAAAGGAGTTACGATTGCGTTGCCGGCCTTTGGGGGATAAGGGTTGCTGATGTGAATTAAGGATCGGTAAGAGATGGGGACAGGAGCAGGATTGGGCCTCCGGTAACCTCATTCACACGGCAAAACACAACGCTGTGGTTGTTTCAAGCTGGTTTTCTGTAAAGCCATAGTATCACTCCAGTCGAGCCGATCCATTCGCACTGAAGCTTGGCTCTCCCACACTTACGTATAAAACACATACAAAAATAATTTAAATTTAGTTTATAAGCTAACCTCGATTTAGGTAATACATGATTGTAAAAATTTTTACATACAATTTTTAGATAAAGGTACACGCCAAGATAGTTTCACATCATCAGCCCATAAGTGCCCACTGCTGAGCAAAGGCCTCTTCTCACACAGAGAAAGTTTGAGCATTAATCACCACGCTTGCTCAAGGCGGATTGGCGATTCCAAACTTATAATGAGAAATTATAAATCTAGGTTTCCTGACGATGTTTACCTTCACCGTATGTCAGTGGTGTCTAAATAATCATAGAAAGTACATATAACACGGAAAAAGTCACATTGGTACTTGCCAGGTTTTGAAACCACGCCCTCATGCATGAGAAGCGGGCTCTTTAACCTCCGGGCCATCACGACGGGTATAAATACTACCAAGATAGTTTACATTTAGTTAATTACCTAAACTGATAGACCAGCATAACATGACATCGCATGACTTAACGTAATGTAACATGAAAGTGACGTGACTTGACATAACACGATACTTAAGTAATGTAATTAATTATCTAGCACTTTATTGCTACAGCTAATATTATTGGTTTAAATTACTTAATATGTCTGTGTTTTACTGTTTTGACAAACTGAAATTATTTATTTAACATTTGAATTCAATTTATCTTTTAAAAATTATAACGCAAGGTATTCGTATTGACGATTAATGTTCGTCGTCTTACCAACGACCGCTGGTGTGCCGCAGGGTGGTGTATTATCCCCATTAATTTTCGCTATATTTATAAATTCAATTTAATCTCTAACAACCTTTTGCCAGACTTCGTGGCAAGGTAAATAATGAGACTGTAGATGGTTAAGGTCTGTTTATTACTTTAATTGCTGGTGCTTATATACTAAGAAGATGCGTGAGATTTTCAGATTTAGCTATCCTAACAAACGTGCAACAATTAACATGTATGTCTTATCTCTATCGTATCTAAGTAATGTAGCGACGTGATAGTGCCGCTACATATACTCCCCCCTTTTAAAAATAATTAACATATAAATTGAAAAAAATTAGTATGTACCTAATTATATAATAACTTAACCTTGCTGATAAATTACATCCTATGCGTAATGTAATGTCATTGTTGCTAATTCGAAGGAAATAAAAACTGCTGCCTTTGTTGTGACGGCGGCGGCAGTCGATGAACTATCCACTGCATTTGTGCTGATTGTTTCTTGCTATTGTTTTCACTCTTCTGTCTAAGGTCTTCAGTATTCCGTAGAGAAGAAGGATGCCAATTGTGATGAGGATTTGTCCAATTGCAATGTTTCTCGTCCACCGTAGCTCTTCCAGGACAAGACTTTTGAGATGGTCGGCTTCATTTTGATTAAGGCAACTGTCGGAGTTATATACGATTTGATCTTTGGAGCTTTGGTTGCCCATTGTTCTCTCGTAGATACTGACGGTATATGATGGTATTTTCAAAATACGGTGAGTATTTAAATGGACTGATTACTTGTGTCAGCAAGTGACGAATCGTACTGTCGGCTTAACCGCCCGTCCTGACTTCGTGATGTACGTGTTCCGCCCGTTGTGATTATTTTCTGAATTTGGCACGTTCGTTCCACTATTGAAGACAAATGCAGGTTTTAATCGGTCTATAGATATTGCTTTTTCATTGTCCCCAATTTTAATGATAAACGTCTTATCTATCCTCTTTGTCACTAGAAATGGTCCTTCGTATGGTGGTGTTAAACTTTTCCTTATTCTGTCACAGCGCACGAATACATGTGAGCATTTGTTGAGCTCGGGGTGAATGAAAACTGTTTGTTTAATTTTCTTGCGTTTTGATGTTGATGTCATATGAGAAATGTCCTTTTGTATATTTGTGACAAATTCTTCGTATGTCGAAGGCTGTGACGATTCAAAAAATTCTCCGGGAAGCCTTATAGGTGCGCCATATATCATCTCTGCTGCACTATATCCTGTGTCCTCGCGTACACAACTTCGTAATCCAAGTAGAACTGAAGCAATTTCGTTCATCCAATTAGCATTAGATTCTCTTGATATTAGCGCCGCTTTTAAAGTTCTATGAAATCTCTCTATCATTCCATTTGATTGTGGGTGATAAGGCGTTGTTCTAATTTTGTGTACTCCTAAAAATTGTGAAAGTGATTCAAATATTCTTGATTCAAATTGTCGACCTTGATCCGTAGTAATGCGTAATGGGCATCCGAATCTTGCTATCCATCCCTCATACAGTATGCGCGCTACTGTTTCGGCTGTGATATCTTTAACGGGAAATACTTCCGGCCAAGAAGTACAACGATCTATCATTGTAATTAAATATCGCTTTCCTTGAGAAACAGGTAACGGTCCAACAATATCGATGTGTAGATGTTCAAAACGTTGAGATGGCATAAAGTTCCCGACAGGTGATATAGTGTGGCGTTGCACTTTTGATTTTTGACAAGCTAGGCACGATTTACACCATTCATTTATATCTTTATTCATACTTGTCCATAAATATCTTTGAGTTATCATTTTCCTAGTAGCTCTCTTCCCAGGATGACTCAGTCCATGCATGACATTAAAAATTTGTCTCCGAAATTTTTCTGGTAAATAGGGGCGATTTTTTCCTGTAGATATGTCACAGGCGATGACTTCAGTAGAACCCGGAACCTTGATATTTGAAAATTTTAAATTCTTGTTATTGCGAAGTCGTAATAATTCTTGGTCATCATGCTGACATCTTGCTAAATCAGCATAATTAATCGGTGCTGGCACATCAATTTGTTCTATCCGTGACAATGCGTCAGCTACAATATTGTCACGTCCTTCTATATTTGAATGTTGGTACAATATTGTGAAATAAAATCCAGTTGTCGTATTCGCCGTGGCGTATCATTAGATGACGGTTTTTGGGAAAATGCGTAAGTCAAAGGTCGATGATCTGTAAAGATAGTAAATTCTCTTCCTTCGACTAACCTTTGAAAATGTTTGACTGCCATATATATTCCGAGCAACTCTCTGTCGAATGTCGAGTATTTTTGTTGAGTATCACTTAATTTCTTTGAAAAGAATCCTAATGGTTCCCAATTACGTCCTGACTTCTGCTGCAGAACTGCGCCAACACAGGTCGAACTGGCGTCCGTCATAAGTGCCAAAGGGGCGGTGCGAGAGGGGTGAACTGTTAATACTGCGTTCCTTATATTTTCCTTGGTCCTTTAGTGATAATATGATGCTTAATCTTGTGTTTTGGAGTAGTGTGGAGGGAGGCTGGTTTCGTAATATCCTCGTATTCATTTAATGCGTGGATTCGTCTCAATGTTAATAGTGCGGATTGTTTGCTGCGTCGATTTGATCAGGGTTGCGGGCGTTGTCAGCTCAGTTACCCTATCTATGAGTTTTCGACCAGCTATATCGACTAATAGCTTATAATGCTCTAAAAAAATCTGCTCCAATAATCGGTTGTGTTACATCGGCGATGACAAAGTTCCCTACAAAGTTTCTTCGTAGCCCGAAGTTTAAAGAGAGTGTTTTTTCACCATATGTCTTAATTTTTGTACCATTGGCGGCATAAAGTATACATTGTTCATCTTGTATTAGTGAATGTCTCTGTGGCTTGCTAATAATTGAAATATTTGCTCCCGTGTCAATCAAAAATCTCATACCACTTTTTCGGTCGGTAATAGTGAGGCGGTTGGACGGGTGAATAGCACAGAGTTCCGCCGTTGTCCGTGCTTCAATTAGTTTCCCTGTTTCCTTGAGTTGAGATCCTGTTTCCAATCACAAGGTTGAACACACTTTTGTGCATATTTTTTAAATCTTCCATGGTAAAAACAAAAGTGCCTTCTTTCTCTTGAACTTGACTGTGGTAGGAAATGCCGACGATTGGAATAACTTTGAGTGCTGCGTCGATAGTTTTTTTGACCTTGCTGAATTGCATTTAGTTCCAATTGCATTTCTGCTAACTGTGCTAGTATGCATGACATTGTATCGTCGCCAGATTTGTTTCCGTTTACAGCTGACACCTCTGTACGTGTTGAATTTATTAATATCTTGTCCGCGATCTGGCTCATCTTGTTCACATCTATGTCTTCTGTGACTGCTAGAACCGAAGTCACTGATGGTGGCAGAAGCCTCAACCATAGAAGTTTGATGGTTTCGTCGCTGATATTTCCGTTACTCAGGGTCCGCATCTTGCGCAGAAGATGTGATGGTTTCTGGTCGCCGAGATCCATTTCAGACAATAATTTTTGGAGCTGACGTTGGTCTGATTCCTCATAGCAACTGATTAGGCGTTCTTTGATAGCCTTGTACTTTTCTATTGGCGGTGGGCAAGTAATGAGGTCACTAACCTGTATTATTTCTTCTTTTGGCAGTTTTGCAATGACCGTATAGTACTTGTAATCGTCTCCTTGCTTCTGTGGTGCTACTATGGCTTCTAGTTGCTTAAACCATAATCTGGGTTGGTCCCTCCAAAATTCCGGAATACGGATAAAATGGCGGTTCCGGCTGATATCTCCAAGGCTTCTTGTTGGCTGCTGCTTGATTTGCAGGGTGAATGAGTCATGTTGATTGTTCTTCGTCGGGTCACCAATTTGCCAGACTTCGTGGCAAGGTAAATAATGAGACTGTAGATGGTTAAGGTCTGTTTATTACTTTAATTGCTGGTGCTTATATACTAAGAAGATGCGTGAGATTTTCAGATTTAGCTATCCTAACAAACATGCAACAATTAACATGTATGTCTTATCTCTATCGTATCTAAGTAATGTAGCGACGTGATAGTGCCGCTACAAACCTCTTTGCGCTTTCTTTTCTATCACCTTTATGCATATGATCTTCAAAACCACATATAATAATAAAGACCTATCGCAAATAGCTTAGTGGAATAGGCGATACGGGCTTAAGAAAAGCCTTTTTAAGACAGCTTATCATCATCGGTAGTTCACGTGTGGTGTCGAAAATAGACTGGTTCTAATCCAAACTTATTTTCGACGGAATTAAGATACCCTTCAGACTTAAAAAGAGAAAACTTGGGATATGTATGGACAGTAGAATGTCCTGGGAACCGCAGATAGAGGAAACCAGTAGGCGGTTATTTCCATTTGCGGGATCCTTGAAACGGTTGCGAAACTTTATGCCCAGTGCTACAAAAATTGCACTTGCGCAATCTCTTCATCTTCTTGTTTTTGACTTGATGCTGATGTCATCTCTTCTCCTTCTTGAACTTAGGGCATACATTATATAAAAATGTGTACATAACAATAAGTAATTAAGATACATACAATGACGTCACATCACTTGACTCGATACGACGTGACATGAATCATAACGTGACATAAGATGACGTGAAATCATGTCAACACGGACTGACATGATCACCAATCAAGAAGCTCCTAGTTTTTATTGCTGATGATTATCATTATCAAACTTGACAGCATTTATTTTACTTCTTTCTGCGAAATGGCGGACTTTATGCTTATTTTTCTTGCAGCCTAAGAATAGATTCATCGAACTTCGATCCAGTGACATTCTGGTCTTGTGGCGTGCAGCTAGTGGCACTGAACTACCAGACTGAAGATGCAGCCATGGCTGTGAATGCAGCTATGTATGAGAGCAACGGATGCACTGGTTATGTTAGGAAACCTAGTGTCATGTGGGATCCAGGACATATTGCGTATAGAAGGTAAGCTATTTTTATTAGTAACTAGCTCTTACGCGCGGCGTCGCTCCCGTCATTTGACTACCTACCCTACTCTACCTTCCCTACTCTACTTACCCTACCTACCCTACTTTACCTACCCTACTTTTACCTACCCTTCTTTTACCTACCCTACTATACTTACCCTACTCTTCGTACCCTACTCTACCTACCCTACTCTACCTTCCCTAGTCTACCTACCCTACCCTACCTACCCTACTGTACCTACACTACTCTACCTACCCTACTCTACCTACTCTATCCTATCCTATGTCCTTCTCCTGGCTCTAAACTACCTCCCTGCCAATTTTCAGCTAAATCGGTTGAGCCGTTCTTGAGTTATAAATGGTGTAACTAACACGACTTTCTTTTATATACAGGGTTACAGGAAAAATCGTGCTAGATCCGTTAAGGGCGTGGAGTACTCATTATTTCTGACTTATTTCACCATGAAACACCCTACCCTAAACTTAACCCTTTTCGAGATATTCGACTTTTAATCTTTTTATTGAAAATTGACGATTTTTAGGCTACTAAATTTAATTTTGTTTATTTTGTGTGACTTATTATTATTATTATCCCATTTCTACATGTGTAATAAGATGCTTTAGGACCTCAATCATAAAAATAGTGAATAAGTTAATTCAATACGCCGTAGTAAAAAAGAGAAAGTTAAGAAATAAAAAAAAAAAATAGAAAGTTTATTTTTCTCTGAGAGATATCTAAAAAAAATTTTATGGCACTTGATCGGCAGATAAGTTATAAAATATCTACGTTTCATCAGCTATCCAACAAGGTATAACAATCTAGAGTTTCATTTAAATGCATTGAAAAAACTTAGTTTCATAGGCGATAGTGGAGGAAGAAATTAATACTTAGCAAAAAAAAAAAAAAAGAAAATTAAAATTAATGCAAAGTATTTATTAAATAAGGTTTTTACACAACTTTTTGTTACAATTCGTGTTCAACATGGCCGCCTCTGTTTCTAATACACTGTCGCATTCTTCGACGGAGACCAGTCTTCACTACTCCAGTGGTCAATGTTGTCCTCATTTGATTGGCTGCATCCACAATGCTTTCTTTTAATTCTTCCACAGACGAAACTGGATTTGACTCGCTGTAGACAAGGCTTTTCATGCGCCCCCACACATGAAAATCCATGGGGGTTAGGTCCGGACTTCTAGCTGGCCATGGCAACGGCCCACCTCGTCCTATCCATTTGTTTTTATAATTTGTGTCTAGCCAGTCTCTGACACTTCTCCTAAAATGTGCAGGGCAGCCATCATGTTGGAACCACATGTCCCTGATCAAGTTGAGTGGCAGATCATCAAGCAAATCACTCAAGTCTCCTCTCAAAAAATTTTCGTAACTTTCCCCATTTAGATTGTCCGGGAGAAAGTAAGGTCCAATCAAATGATTGGAGATAATACCCATCCACACATTTACGCTAAATCTTCGTTGGGAACCCTTCACTCTTTTCTTATTGGGATTCCTAAGTTCTTTTGGAGCCCAGTAATGCGCGTTGTGATAATTACTTATGCCATCTTTATCAAATTTGGATTCATCTGTCCACAAGATATTTCTTAAAAAATCTGGGTCTTCTACGTCAGCATTTAGCATAAATCTGCAGAAGTCCAACCTTCTCGCGGGGTCTCCTTCTTCAATAGTGTGTACCGGCGTGTAATGGTACGGGTATAGGCCAGCAGTATGCACTGTAAACCATACTCTCCATTGCGAAAGTCCCAGATCACGGGCAACAATATTAGTAGAAGTAGTCGGATCCGCTCGAAAGCGCTGCACTATCTCATTGTCCTGTTCGTCGTCGTCATTAATTCGTGGTCTGCCCATGTCTGTATTTCGTCTCAAAACAGAGCCAGTTTCTCGAAGTCTCCGATAAACTCTATCAAAAACAGCCACATCCGGCACACGACGACCGGGGAATCGAGCTATGTATTCGTTGCGAGCTTGCGCAGATACACAACCGCAGTATCCGTAACAAATAAGCATATCAGCATATTCCTCAGGTGTGTACGACGCCATCTTCAACACTTCCGTAGCACAAGTACAAATCGAAGTCCGGTTAACAAGCACAGTAGTCACAAATCGAAAAAAAACAGTCCAGAATCACAGCCAAGTCGAAATAAAGAGCAAAAACGATATCACATCTACTATGTACGAAGCACAAAAGCAGACTAACAAACAAAACAATATCCCGTGATATCCCTACAATATTTTTTCTTTCATTCGCACCTACATAAACCGTCGCTTGTCTCACTCGCACGGTGCGTCATAACTTAAGGACAATAGGCGCGGTACCGTTAGGACTGCTACCTGGAGCGTCCCAAATCCTTTTTTTACACGAATTACAATACAAATCCTAGATTGTTATACCTTGTTGGATAGCTGATGAAACGTAGATATTTTATAACTTATCTGCCGATCAAGTGCCATAATATTTTTTTAGAAATCCCTCAGAGAAAAATAAGCTTTCTAATTTTGTTTAAATTTCTTAACTTTCTCTTTTTTACTACGGCGTATTGAATTAACTTATTCACTATTTTAATGATTGAGGTCCTAAAGCATCTTATTACACATGTAGAAATAGAATAATAATAATAATAAGTCACACAAAATAAACAAAATTAAATGTAGTAGCCTAAAAATCGTCAATTTTCAATAAAAAGATTAAAAGTCGAATATTTCGAAAAGGGTTAAGTTTAGGGTAGGGTGTTTCATGGTGAAATAAGTCAGAAATGACGAGTACTCCACGCCCTTAACGGATCTAGCACGACTTTTCCTGTAACCCTGTATATATATAGACTAGCTACCACCCGCGGCTTCGTCCGTGTGGTATGTTAGGAAATCACCTCCTCTTTTGGGAGTGGTAAGTCATTAAATGACTTCTCCCGCCCATAGAGTGAGCGCGAGAGGTCGCGACCGCTAATGAATTCCCTGAGGACCTACATACCTACTCAATATAACCAAATCCAGCCGTTTTTGCGTAAGGGAATAACAAATATACATCAACACATTCTCACAAACTTTCAAATTTATAATATTAAAAAGATTAGCTGGACATGAGTATAAATGTGGATGGATGGAGAGGGATAGGGAGACCAAAGAAAATATGGATGCATTGTGTGAGAAGTGATATGGAAGACAGAGGAGTTAGCGATAGCGTGACGGGTGACAGGACAGAATGGAAGAAAAAAACATATTGCGCCGACCCCAAATAAAACGGGACAAGGGCAGAAAGATGATGATGATGAAAAGGATTAGCAGGACGTGCTAGCGTTTAACCGTTGTCACTATTATCCGCACGCCGGCCATCTTGGGATCAGGGTTTAGGAGATTGAGGGGGATTTGGCCCCCTAGCAACTTAAAGTCAAAGTCAAAATCAAAATCGTTTATTTCAATTAGACTACAGAAGCAATTTTGAACGTCAAGCAAAAAAAGGAAAAAAGTATTTCAAGACATTTAACTTTAAGCATGTCAGTCTGTCCGTCTGTCCTCTAGTGAAGCTATTTGCTCGTTCTAAAGTGTAGATTCCTATGAAGAAGAACGAGCAAGAAACTCCATGGTTACTCTTTTGCAATCAGTTTTACAACTCATTTCTTTGGTACATCATTTAGTTGGTTCTGATATGTCCATAAAGCTAACAGAGGAGTAACGAGTGCGTTTGCCGATCTTTTGGTGATTTGGGATCTGGGGATTAGGGTGTGGGATTAGGGGTTTGGGGATTTGGAGATTTAGGGACTGGGGATGGCTTGGGTGAGGGGAAGGATTGGGCATCCGGTGATAAAACATTCCTTATCAATCGTCGCAAGATCGCTCCGAATAAGAGACCTATTGCAACTTGGAACTACTAGAACTTTTCTCAGTTGAGCGAGTCGTTGTTCGTTTTTTTATGTGATCGGCAAACGAGCACACGGATTACCTTATGGTAAGCAATCAGCGCCGCCCATGGACACTCGCAACGGAGGAGTTACGAGTGCGTTGCCGACCTTTTAGGGATTAGGGGTTTGGAGATTTAGGGATTGAGGAGGGATTGGGGGAGGGGAAGGATTGGGCCTCCGGTAACCTCACTCACACGGCAAAACACAACGCTGTGGTTATTTCGCGCAGGTTTTCAGTGAGGCCGTGGTAATACTCCGGTCGAGCCGACCCATTCGTGCCGAAGCATGGCTCTCCCACACTGTTTTCTATATGATTCCCTTGATTACAGATTCAACCCGATGGATAAGGAATTCGATGGTATACACGCTGCTCATCTGACCCTGGCCGTGATCTCCGGACAGTACGTGGCAGAAAACGTTTATTCTTTCTACAACGCTTTCGTGGAAGTGGAAATTTTGGGAGTCCCAGCCGATTGCAAGAAGATCAGGACAAAAGTAGCGAGAAAGAATGCCTTGAATCCTATTTGGAATGAGACATTTAATTTTAAGGTGAGATTATTTCAATTCTTCAGATTCAGATCTGGACGTCATTTGGGGAGTTCAGTAGGCTTTCCAAGACGTGTTAAAGCGTGGATCTTCCGGGCGAGAAAGAGGGATGGAGCTATACACCTTCTTTATCTCCATCCCTCTTTCTCGCATGGTACGCCCTCTGCTATAGTTGTATGTAGTTAAGGTCTTTTCCGTGATATGAAATCACCCAGAATGGCACAGGTACCATGATTCCGTGCGAAAGATATTTCGTTGACCCGCAAATACCGAAGCTGAATTCTGACTTCTTTATGTGCTAGAACTGCAAACGAGCAGACGGATTACCTGATGGTAAGCAATCAGCGCCGCCCATGGACACTTACAGCAATGGAAGAGTTACGAGTGCACTGCCGACTTTTTGGGGATTTAGGGATTAGGGGAGGAGAAGGATTGGGCCTTCGGTAACAAGACTGATACGGTAAAACACAACGCGGTCACAACGCAGAAGAAGACGGATACCCTGATGGTAAGCAATCAGCGCCGCCCATAGACACCAGCAACAACGAAGGAGTTACGAGTGCGTTGCCGGTCTTTTAGGGATAAGGGCTTCGGATATTTAAAGATTGGGAAGAGATGGCGTGAGGGGAAGGATTTGAGCTTCCAGTAACCTAATCACACATCGAAACACAATTCCGTGGTTGTTTCACGCCGGTTTTCTGTGAGGCCTTGGTATCACTCCGGTCGAGCTGACCGATTTTTACCGCTTGGTTCTGCTAAACTTGTATTTTCTCTGCAGGATTTAAAGGCCTAAGTTTATAAATGACTCAATTAAAACCTTCTTTCTTTAAATTACAGATCAATTTCCCCGAGTTAGCATTTCTAAGGTTTGATATATTTGATGCGGACACCAACTATATGCTATCTCAACGCGTCATACCGCTGCAGTGTCTTCGGCCTGGATACAGACATGTCAGACTCAGGTGAGAATCTTCTTTTATGGGAAAGCTTGGCAGACGGATTACCTGATGGTTAGCAATGGGCGCCGCTCATAGACACCCGCAACACTAAAGGAGTTAAGAGTGCGATGCCGGCCTTTTGGGGATAAGGATTGCCCTTATCCCCAAAAGGCCCCTTATCCCCAAAATGCCGGCCGGATGTAGATTCGGGAAGGGATAGGGGAAGGGGCGTACTATTGGGCCTCCGGCAACCTCATTCACACGGCGAAACACAACGCTGTGCTTGTTTCAAGCCGGTATTCTGTGAGGCCGTGGTATCACTCCGGTCGAGCCGACCCATTCGTGCCGAAGCTTGGCTCTCCCACACTTGCCTCTAGTTACCTCATTCATACGACGAAACGCAAAAAGCAAGCGTTGATTCACGCCAGTTTTCAGTGTACCAAACCAGTCTTCGCCAGCCAAAGGTCTCGCGTCAAAACCAGTTAAGTTTTAAGGCTCCTCAACATGCTATGGTAATTTACCTTCCAAATTCCAGATCACCAACGAACCAGCCGTTGAACATGGCATCTCTTCTCATCTTCTCCCGATGCTGCGAGGAGTTAGCTGGCGAGAGTTGTCGAGGGGACCTGGAGCCTACATCCCCCCATGAAAGACGGAAGATACATTTCCTGGTCGTGTATGCCGTGGCCCGTCATGAGGCCTACTCCATTCTGAAGGTCACTCAGGATACTACAGCTAATGAGGTGAGAGCATCCTTTTTATTTAGGGGAAGGTAGGAATCATCAAATGCCTTCTCCCGCCATAGGTCAGAATCTTACTTATCAAGAACTGCCCTGTTTCTTCTCCTTTCTTTCTTATTTCTTCCGTTCATTCTTATGGAAGTCAACATATTGCATTGAAGGGTCGGAGTAATACAACGACGTCACATAATACCCCACGTGGAACAGAACCTTGCGCTGTGTTACGCCAAGTGAGTGATCTTACTGGAGGCGCAAACCTTACTCTTTCCTCATTCCCAATCCACCCAAAATCCCTTGTCCTCAAAAGACCTATAATTCCAAATCCTCTGGAGCTACGGCTGTCCATGGTCGACGTTGATTGCTTACCATCAGCTCATTTGCCGCTCTATCCTATATAAAAAAAACTGCTAAAAGTTTATTAAAAGACAAGTTAACCTAATTGTCCTCATTTCGTTAATAAAACCCCGTAATACGGTAGTTTCCAACTAGTCAAATTCAATACTTTTATCCAAACGTCAAAACGATACTTTCCTATGAAATTTGTATGAAAAACTGAGTTATAACGTCATAACATTTTTGCGTCAAATAGCTTAATTATTTCTTAATAATTAGCTAAAAAAGATCTAAAACTTAGTGTATCGATCGATCGATGAACAAAAGTATAGGTATAGTTATTTTTCAATATTTTATTGTATTGGAACGTCGAATTAATTTATTTTTGACCTAGGAAACTACCTAATTGTTCGAATTTAAATTTGAAATAAGTGAATCGTTATCAATTCCTTCACAGGCTATAGCTCAATGCCTAACAAAGGCTGGAGTATGCAGATCAGCTCGAGGCAGCTACGTGATGGTAGAGGAGGTTCCTTCTCGAGCTCCTACGCAAAGAGTGCTGGCTCCTCATGAGAGGGTTCTCAGGGCTGCATCAGCAAGACCTGGTGCAAGGTTGTTACTGAAGAGGGTCGGTGATGATCCTAGCAGCAGAGCTTGGTTGACTAGTATTAGGTAAGTCAAAAATACTTTTTTAATTCCTTCGTCGGAGTCAGTAGTGAAACAATGAATTTATTTTTGCGACTAATTAAGATTTGTTCTATGCGGGAATCGAACGCTTCTACCGTACACTCCATGTTATGATTGCCATAAAAGATCAATCATAAATACCTAAATAAGAACAGACACAAAAGTTTTTTTTGTGGTTTGGCCAAATTAGTTTTGAGCAAGTTTAAAACCTTTTTTGCGAAAACTAATTTGGCTAAAAAACTTTTGTGTCTGCATATTCGAAGATTTCTTAATAATTCCTAGTCTTGTAGGAACGTGATACAAATTAGCCTATGTCACTCCCTGATAAAATTTACTTTAGTTTTGAGGAGTTTTTGAGAATGTTCAAATAACTTCTCCCAGCGTGGCGTGAGAAAGTCGGACCTTTTGCTGACTAAAAACCACCTTGTTCCTTCTCCGCTTGCATCCACAACCCTAGTGATGTCACTACTATATAACGTTGCCCCACACTAGGACTTTCTCCTGTGTCGTGGGTGCGGTTACAAACATACAATTTCACATACAGATGACACCCAGACCCGGAACAACAATCTGTGGTTCACACAGAGATTTGTTCCGTGCGGAAATCGAACCCGTTGCCCAGCCACCGCGCCAACCGTGCAGTCATAATTCGATTGTGTTTTCCTGACAAGTAAATTCCCTGACAAATGATAAAAGAATAATATTGAAATCGGTTTAGTAGTTTTGGAGACCGTTGAATACAAACAAAGAAATCGTTCCTCCTTATAACATCATCATCATCATCATCAGCCTATAAGTGCCCACTGCTGAGCAAAGGCCTCTTCTCACACGGAGAAGAGAACACTATGAGCATTAATCACCACGCTTGCTCAAGACGGATCAATTGACCATTACAAGCTTATAATTAGAAATTATAAGTCCAGGTTTCCTCACGATGTTTTCCTTCACCGTATGTCAGTGGCGTTTAAATAATCATAGAAAGTACATATAACTCGGAAATAAACACATTGGTACTTGTCAGGTTTCGGAGCCACACCCTCATGCATGAGAAGCTGGCGCCTGAACCTCCGGGCCACCACGACATATATTTATAACATTGGTATTGATTTATCCTTACAGATCAGCATCATCAGATCGCAACAGAGACAGGTCGGTTCCGTCTGATGAGGAGTCGAGTACACAGGATGAAGAGCCTCGGAAGCCACCTGATAGTTTCCTAGTTTGCGTCCATAATGTATCCCATGAGATACCCTACGCCATCCTTAAGGTAAGAAGCGTTACTTCGCGTTAATAGAAGTCCTAAATTTCATTAGAATTTATAGAGAAATTGCAGTTGTATATGTCGATAGATAGGTCGGCAAACGAGCGGACGGATTACCTGATGGTAAGTAATCAGCGCCACCCATGGTAACCCGCAACGGAGGAGTTACGAGTACGTTGCCGACCTTTAAGGGATTAGGCATTTGGAGATTTAGGGATTAGGGAGGTATTGGGAGAGTGGAAGGATTGGGCCTCCGGTAACTTCACTCACACGGCGAAACACAACGCTGTGGTTGTTTTACGCCAATTTTCTGTGAGACCGTGGTATCACTCCGGTGGAGTCGACGCATTCGTGCCGAAGCATGGCTCCCCGTTGCGCAGTTTTAAAAATTTAAGCGTACATATAAAACGTTAGCGATGTCAAGGAACTCGGTCTGCACATTGACAGCACCCTCAGCTGGCGTACGCAGGTCACTAACGTATGCAAAAAAGTCACAGGTTCGCTGCGGTCCCTATATCGTCTCAAAAATTTTCTCCCATCCTTTGTAAAAGCAGCGCTTGTGCAATCCCTTATTTTCCCAATTATTGACTATGGTGATGTTTGTTATTACGACCTGAATGCAGATCTCCTCAATAGGCTTGATCGACTTCTGAATAACTGCATTCGATTTGTTTTCAACCTGCGTAAATATGATCATGTTTCTGCACATCGGCTGCAATTAAAGTGGTTGCCCATACGCCAGCGCAGGAAGCAAAGGGCTCTCACCACTCTGTACTCCTTTCTTGTTTCTCCTTTTTCCCCTAGGTATCTATCTACTTACTTTCAATACACCAGTGCAAACCATACTAAATATCTTCGTTCTTCCAATAATCGTCACCTTCAATGTATAAGTCATCACACTGACTTTCTTCACTCTTCTTTCTTTATTCAGTCTGTAATGCTATGGAATGCACTACCCACGGAGATTAGGATGGCAACCAGTCGTTTGTCTTTCAAAACAAGATTGCGTGAGCATCTTCTTAAAAAGTTGGCGAATTCAAATCTCTCATAACTACTTATTTTTATTTTATTTATATATTTCTATGTAGTATATGTATTTTATGTACTTATATTTTATAGTTATATTAAGTATATTAAGTATTGTATATTATAGAATACCCTACCTGATGTCTATTTGTACAATGATATTCATATTTTTATTATATGTTTATAAAAATATGAATATCTATCTATACTGTCTAAGTAATGTATTTCTCATATAGTCATAAAATTTTGTTTTGTATACTTTTGTCACCTGCCACTCTCATCTCTCCACCATCTGAAGGTCGACTGTCAGACAATGCCTAAGGCATTAAGTCCGCCTGTACATTCTTTTGTATAAAGTGTATAATAAATAAATAAATAAAACAAAGTCACTTTCTGTCTCGTATGTTATCCCTATATACGCTTACGTAGCGTCTCGTGAACAGTGGAGAAATTTATTATAGTGCAATGCCGGGGCGGGTCGTCAGTGATACACAATTCAAATAATAATAATATTTGTATTTTCAAATTCCAGGTGCCTTTAACTGCCACAGCATCATACGTGGTCTACCAGGCTCTAACAAAAGCGCGTTGCCATGACGACCCGAAGCGGTTCGTCCTGGTTGAAGAGTTGGAGTGGGGCGGTCGAGCGGGGACGGGGCCGCAGCAGAGGGCGTTGGCTGATGATGAAGTGGTTTATGCTGCTCAGGTAAGGAGTTGCACACGTTTTTCCACCGACTTAAAAGGATAGAAGGATGTTGATCTGTTTATTATATATTTATTTTATGTTTTATTGTTGTATAAAATGACGTGAAGTTGGTACAAAAGACTTAATGGCATATGGCATTCTCTACCGACCTTTGGGTCAAGCAGAAAATTCAGCGAAAAAAGGTATGAGGATACGAAATGATCTACGATTAATATAATCTGTTTCTAACCTTTTGGAGGACAAACTTATTTATTCAGGTTTTGGATAGAAACAGATGTTAGAAAAAAAACTTGTATCTGGTTATGTTTGTCCGTGATAATCTCGGGAACAGTTGAACATATTTTGATGCAGTCTTTGTAAAATTTATTTTTGTCCAGATTAAGAATAGATCCAGTGTTACTGCCTATGATTCTGGTTTTCAATGATGATTTTTTGGTGATCAAGTTTGGTGCTATACTGCCTTGGGATTCCTGGGTCAGGAAAACTATTATGAGTACTTAGTGATTCCAAGATAAGATTCTCAAGGAAACTGTAATGAGACCCACGTGATAAGATCATCTGGTTTAATTTCAGGCTGGTTGGAAGACATTAGGTAGATTTGTACTCCAAGAGAAGGGTAGTACGGCTCCGTTGCCCCGACACAGGGCAGCCATTGCCCGGATACAGCGTGGACTCAGCATGACAAGAGGAGCTATAGCAGGTGTGTATAGGTCTTTCCCAAAATGGGTGATAATGCCATTTCACATATTCAGAAATGGGCTGGCTAACAAGGCCGGCGGAACAAGTTTCAGAACATCTGGCGAATACTGATAAAATTTTATCTTTTTTTAAAGTCAAAATCAAAATGATTTATTCCAACTAAACCATTAATAGGTACTTTTGAAACGTCAAAATAGAATAGGTAGTAGTCTGTCAGTCTGTTCGTCAGTGAAGCTAGGTGCTCGTTCCAAATTGTAGTTTCGAATGGAGAAGAACGAGCAAGAAACTCCATCGTTACTTTTTTTAATAATATTTTTTTTGACAATTTCTCTAATACATTATTGTATCTATATGTGAGTTCTTTTATCATTAATCCTAATGTTCATTTTTCAGGCACCACAGGCTTTCCATTAGGGGGTTTCAGCGCGACCGATACGATTTCAGAAGGGAAAACACCGGTGCAAACTGCTTACAGTGATCCCACGCATTGCAGGTAATTCTAAAAACATACCATAGGCCATATTACCTGCAGCTTGCCGCCCGACCAGAACCAGACCCAAGCGTACTGCGCGTAGCGTTCCGCGCGCGTCTGAAAGAGCCAATAGACCACCACAGACGGGGCCCTATAGGGCTGATGTTCAGCCGGGGTTGCGGGGTAAGCGCAATGAGGCACCGCGACCTCGGCCCAGAGCAGGAGTAGGAACAGGGGGGTTTTTATTGATCGATTGATCCCCGACGCCCGTAGTGTCGCCTGTTGCGGCGGCTGGGGCGTAAGGAGGAGGATTGCTCCCTCACACGGGCCACCTCCTTCTTATCGACAATGGTCCTGCATTGTCGGTCTGCAACTGTGTCCTGCATTTTCACTGCGTTTTGAATATTGTGGCAACGACTCGCTTACCATCAGACCCATCGACTCGTGAAAATGAAAACTAACGAAAAATATTCATTGGTACTAAATAACAATTATCACGTTAAGCAAAGGAAGCTTGTTTTAGGAGGTTCCACTTTTCCTTTTAGACAAGGGGTCGCCCGCGGCTCAACAAAAATAGCCAAATCAGTAAAGGCATTGTTGAGTTATACCTAACATTACAATGAAAAGTGGCATTGATGTTTATATATATTGATTGTGTGTGCTAAAAATTCAATTTTTTCACCATGGGAGAGCCCATGCTTTAGCACAAATAGACTGGCTCCACCGAGTCAATCCCACGGCCTTATATAAAACCAAAATGAGAGCACCACTGCTTTGTATTTCGCCGTGTGAGCTAGGTTGCCTTTCCAGTCCCGAAATCCTTAAAAGGCCTTGCAATGCAGCTCTCACATTACAACTCCTTTGGTGTGTTGCAAATCCATGGGTGGGCGCCGATTGCTTTCCATCAGATAATGCTCTTCAACGAAGAGCGTGACTACATGCTTTGGTGCTCATTTGCAACCATTTGCCTTGAAAAAAATACTAACACCCGGTTTCCGAAAGGCCGATCAGTATTAAAATCAATTTAATCTCTTGTCAAGTCATCTGATTGGTTGACTGAATTATCAACAACCAATCAGATGACTTGACAAGAGATTTAACAGGAGATTAGGTAGTTAATTTTAGCGTTGACAAGCCTTTCAGAAACCGGGTTTTAGTATATCATATTATTTGATATTGCAGGAGAGTATCTACAGCGCCCCTTGGTAAAGGCATCGGACGAGCAAAAGGGCACTCCGATAAGGACATGAGGAGCTACATGCAGAAACGAACGAGCTCGCGAGAGGTAAGAGTGAAAAAAAAACCTAAATTTCATTTTTTTTACTCCAGTAAATAATCAAATGCAAATTAATACCAAGGCCTTTAGGGAAAATTTGTTTCAGTAATCTTAATAACTTAATGTGATGGTGGCCCAAAGGTTAAGGAGTCCGCTTCTCATGCATGAGGGCGTGGTTCGAATCCTGGCAAGTACCAACGTGACTTTTTCCCAGTTATAGTTAGTTATTTAATTATAAGTCCAGGTTTCCTCACGATGTTTACCTTCACGGCGTCAGTGGTGTCTAAATAATCATAGGAAGTACATATAACTCGGAAAAGTCACATTGGTACTTACCAGGTTACGAAACCGTACCCTCATTCATGAGAAGTGGGTGCGTTATCCTTGTGTTTATCCGATCTTACGGCGCGTACCGTTCCGTGCGCGCTTCATAAAGCCAATAGACCACCACAGACTGGGCCCTATAGGGCTGATGTTCAGCCGGGGTTGCGGGGTAAGCGCAATGAGGCACCGCGACCTCGGCCCAGATCAAGAGAAGGAACGGGAGGATTTTTAGTCAGTAAGAGTCTGACAAGTCCCTCCCGCCCGCGCTGGAAGAAGTAATTTAATAATTTTCCCCTCACAAAAAAAGAAACCTTGTGTTTATACCGATTACTAAACTATGATACCAGAGCTAACCGTATACTGTAACTAAGCTGTTCCATTTTCAACCAGGTGCACTCTGAAGGAGAGACGGGAGGGGCTGGTATGTCAGCAGGGGCGGAGGCTCTCGCAGCGCAAGTAGCAAGATTCAAGAGACTATCATTACGAAAACTCAGGGCATGGCGATCCTGAGTGTGGCAGGTAAACTTTCATTCACCATTCACAAAGTTAGTTCATTTGTTTTCATTCATAACTCATTCTCATTGAGCGCTGAAAAGACAATTTGACAATTTTATAGATACTAGATACGATTGAATTTTATCCACCACTAGCTTCTGTCGCGCGTTTCCGCTCGCTGCTCAGCTCCTTCAAATCGAATAAATTCGAACCACCAGTTCTGAAGATCAGCGCGTTCAAACAAACAAACTCTCCAGCTCTATAATATTAGTATAGATTTTTCATACTCGGATCCGGAACAACAATTTGTGGATCACACAATGAGTTGTTCCGTGCGGGACTTTAACCCAAGAAACGTTGTACAGCGGCCAGGTGCAGTCACTGCATCACCACACAGTCTTTTTCATTTGTTATTTCATTGTATTCGGACATGAACAATGCTCCTGCAAAAGCTACACAATTGTCGAAAATTTGCAAAGGATGCGAAAGTCAACAAGCATTAAATTCCTGGTCATTCATTTTGATACGTATATTTCAAACAGACAAAAATATATTTGGCACAAATTGAAAGATTGAATGTTTAAGAGCTCATACTGAAAATCAACCTTTAAATAATAGATTTTGACCACTTGAAAGAGACTTTTAAAGACAACACTTCTATTATTTATTGTATTAATAATATTATTCTTTCCAGGTCTTCCGGCGGCTAGGCACCCGCTTAGCCAATCACAGAGCCTCCTTATCATCAGAACTCGGCTCTCTGTGGGACTTCATCAGGATAGATCGGGACAGACGGCGCTCTGCTCCCTCGGCATCCACTTACGAAGCGATACACACCGATACGAGATCCCCTGTACGTCTAGCAAGGGATCTTCTCCAAGTAATCCAAGAAACTGTCTTCTCAAAGAAGTTTGAAGAGTCTCCCAAACGCTGTCCTCTTGTCAAAGAAGAATCTGACCTCAGCTCCGACGGCGAAGAAGGTACTGAGAGAAGAATAGCGAATCTAATCGATTTCTTCTTCACTATAGTCAAAAGTCAGAGAGGTGAAAGAAAAGGCAGCGGTGGAAGTTGCTTCAAAAGCGAAGTCACTCCAGAAGAAACTAAAGAATTCATTCCAAGTAAAATGAATACTGAATTAGAAGCGAAAATGGAGACTTTGATGGACTTCTTAGCGACTACAGGGTGTATGGAGAAGGAGGATGAAGTTGGTGATAATAAAATAACTCTTATGGAGTTCCTATTCGGTCCGGAAGACCCGAAGCCTAGTATAGAAATTGTTGACGTTGAACCTGGACTCAGCGAAGCTAATATAAATGTCAAAGACCTCACTTACATAGACGATACGCCTGAGGAAGAAGCAGAAACATTAGTTGAAATGCTTATAAAATATATGGAAAATTACACGACGAAAGACAAATTTCATTCAAAGTCTTTAACGCCATCGTTGTCTGAGAAATCTAAGTCGGACATCACTATAAGCAAACTTGAAACTTTCAGTGATATTAGTAAAACAAAATCGGATTCAACATTAACTCATACTCAAGACACTGTTATAGATAGAGGCGAGGACTGTTCAACAGACAGACGGATTTCTGAAACAGTTGTCGATCTGAGCAACGTTAAAAATGACTTAGAAATGATATTCGATGAAGCTGTTAGTAGAGTCAGTGAAATAAGGAAACTAGAAGAAGATCAGGATACTATGACTGATCAAGAAGATATTGAGAATTATGAATCTTATACAAAGCCTCCGATGCTACCTTATATACAGTATTTACCATACAGTGTAGAGCTATCAGATATATTAGAGGAAGATGAACCATCTTCTCGAGATTTTGATAGAAAAGATGATAGAAACTCACAAATAAGACAAGCTGCAGAAGATTTACTAAACTACATAGAAGATAAAGTAGCTAAACACTTTGAAGAGGATTCAGACGATGAATTCGACATAAGCTCCAGTTTAAAACGATCATCGATTAGCTTAATCGATTTGCGTAATATTCCTGATTTACCTCCAAGCATGATTATCAAGCCTAAAGTAGTCAAAGTCGATAAGTCTACATCTACGACTGAGATATCGGAATCTATATCCGATTTGTCGAGAAGAATGGATTCAGCTTGCATGACGGAGGATACAACGCTGACGTCAAGTTCAGAGAAAAGTGCAAGGGCTTTGGATAAACTGGAGTCTTTGCATAAATTCTTTTCTAGATCTCGATTAGAGATTATCGATGAAAGTGAAGAGCAGGCGGACAAAATTAAAAACTCAAAACCAGTTAAAACTATTTCTGGTAGCGACAGCAATGGACCAGAGTACAAAGCTGGACAAGCCAGTTTAGACGACGTGGAAGACATACAAGATGACGACAAAGCTAACGTCGGCTGCGGCGATGGAGTCATAGAAAAAGAAAAACCAAACGAAAAAGACACTGATTTTCAAAAAAATGGTGATGAAATATCAGATAGTGTCGAAGGGAAAATGACAAAAAGCCTCGATGAAATCAAGGAAATCAGTGAAGATGATGACAGTCAAGTTATTGACGATGATAGAGATATGAAACAATGGAGCCCTTCACCTGAAGAGATCGCAGAAATCAATGAACGGTACAGACTAGTAGTTAGCGCTGAAGCGAGCAAAAACCAAACTGAATCTGAAGAAATTGTTACAGCTATTGGTAATACTGGGGTCGGAATTGAACGGAGTCCATTGAAATTCGTCCTAGGTGAAGTAGATGAGGCTCTAGAAGAATTTGTAGTAACGCCTAAAGGGAAAGTGAGGCACACGTCGGTGTGAAAAACAAATAAATACATATTCAATGATAAAGTACAAAGATTTTGAATATCATGATATTTATCGATAACTGAGACAAGAAACTAGTAGTCGTACAAAAAGAAAGAAAGAGAAAATATCAATTATAAATAAAGAAAGCAGATACAAAAATCAATGATATTAGAAGTAAAAAGGGTGTAGTTGTTTTAAGCACTTGGCGACTTTTGTATTTGTCTCTTTTTCACTTGCGATTAATGAATCATGCCATCCCACTTTTCCGTCTTATCATATAAGTTATTCATGTGTGTCGTTTTTTAAAGATCGAATGCTCTTCTATCTAAACCTTTTTACTTACAATATCATTGTTGAAAATTAACAAAAAATATATTCAACAAAATAAGTACCTACAGAAAGCAAGAAACATGATTCTAAAATTGTCGCTAATGTTGACATTTAGTAGATGTAAGTGTCATTCGAAGCACTAAACTATGTTAAAGGTGGGGACATACTGTCGACATACGACGCAAAATGTTCAAAAAATTCCATAGTCCAATCGACAGTTAGGCAAGTACCTAATAGGCGCCTCTAATGTTTTATGAGGCAAGATTAGGCGGTCTTCTTCCTTGTCTCGAAAAAATATTTTTCTCTTAAATAAGTGAAGTACCTAACTATTTGTTGTGCAAGTTAGATAATAAAATTGCATAGATCCTAAATAGTATGCTTTTCAACTAAATCAAATCTTTTATTTATTTATTTAAACTTTATGCAACAAAACATTACATAGGCGGACTTAATGCCGTAGGCATTCTCACCAGTCAACCTTAGGGTGATGCAGAGAGAGATCTTTGGTACCTTTTATCAGGTACATCCGTGAACCGTTCTTTGTTACTTGCTCGACTGACTTTTCTTTCTTATTCAAAAAACGTTGCCTTACATTAGGTTGTGGTCTTTTGTCGAGGGTGCGTTTACAAACATACAAATTCACGTACACACGCGACCCGGTCCCGAAACAACAACTGTCATAATGATTTTCAAATGTCCTGAAGATACGACTATAATGCGTCTTATTTATAACTAGCTTCGTTGATAAAAAGCAGCCTATGTGTTCGTCCAAGGCATCACCTACCTATAAACCAAATTTCAATCAAATCGGTCCATACATTCTCACAAACTTTCAGATTATAATAATTGTAGAATAGTTTTGACGACACCACTTTACTTGTTTTTAATCTTTGATCAAAAGTTTCCGGTCTTTAAGAGTGGCTACAAACTTTGCGTCGTCATGTCAACAGTAGGTTTCACCTTTAAAAGTTATATAATATTATCTGTCACTTTTTAGTGATACGCAACAAAATAGTGAGATTTTATAAAAAAATAATAATAATATAAATAAATAAATTTTATTATAAAATTATAATTATAATACCTACATTATATGAATAGGATTTTAATAGTTGTAATTTTATTATAATTCTATTTTGTTATAATTTAACTGGACTTTTTTAACTGTAAACTCTATAATATTATTCGTCAAACATCTTCACGAACATTTCATATCCTGCTATCTTATGCCATCTCATCTAAGTCATCTCATATAAAATTGCCATTGAGGCAAGTATGAGCTTTCTATAGGCAACAGACTTGACTGCACACGCATATGCTTATTCGTCATTTGTCTAATACAACAATTGCAAGAAGCTCGTACATCTTCAAAACATCATACAGTTCTGTATTGATCAAGTAACCGTATTACAATATAGATTTGCTTCTAGGATTCAAAACACACACTATACTTACATAGCTCATCTCTTAATTAATAAAAATTGTTTCCATACTACTACTCTACATACATATCTTGAATAAAATGTCATAAACCTCCTAGTCCAGTTAAAATATAAATTAATGGAAAAATAATATTGCCAAGAATTTTATTTTGGAGAAGGTGGTAAGTGAAACATTTAGGGTAGGCCCCAAAATACTGCCCTGAGGTACACCTGTAGTAAATGTTTCTAAGGCCTGATATATTGTGTGTAATTTGATGGAAAGAGTAATATGAGAATATATTTAGATGAAATTGCCAAATGTATTAGCTAATATTCCAACTATATTTGAACAAACGATGATCAATGTATAATCAAACGTATCAAAGGCTTCACTTAAGTCAGAAAACTATCAACTTCAAAAACATTTTCCTACTCAGAATAATAAGTATTGAATTAAAAAATATGTACCTAGCTGTTCGTATCATATAAATACCACTTTCTCCAAAGTCTTTTTATTATAGGCGTTTCAAGTATATCGATTTTAAAAGACGAAAATAAACTGTAGCGAGGTTCACTGTCCAGTGACACGGACGCTGGTATCGCCATGAGCTAATGTTCACATGTAAACAGTGACTCGTGTAGTGTAGATGTCCAGTCAACTGATGGTAGCGAGGTTCACTGTCCAGTGACACGGACGCTGGTATCGCCATGAGCTAATGTTCACATGTAAACAGTGACTCGTGTAGTGTAGATGTCCAGTCAACTGATGCTAGCGAGTTTCACTGTCCAGTGACACGGACGCTGGTATCGTCATGACCTAATGTTGGCATGTAAACAGTGACTCGTGTAGTGTAGAGATTGTCCAGTCAACTGATGGTAGCGAGGTTCAAACTGGGTATAAGATTGAAACGCTAATAATATTTCTAAACGCGCTCTAATTATAATAAAATGTTGAATAAAATTACTGTGTATATCAAAAAAGTTGAATTTATATTAAAAAATAATGGATATTGTAAAATTTTATACCACTATACATATATCATTTTGTAAGTCAGATTTAAAAGGATAAGTTCAATATTTTCATCTCTTTCTTTTGTATCAATATTGAGAGTTGTGTGACAAAGATAGGTATATTTTTTTGGATTGCATAATGAGTGCTAATGCAAGTGTTTTTTTTACGTAAGTCGATCAACGAATGCCATGCTACTAATTGCCAAGCGGACTCAGTCACAAAGGTCCCTTATGACGTCTTCGCGTCGCGTCGGGTTTTCATCGCTCAATATTCTAAGTACCAATGGGTCTAAGGTGTAGTTTAAATATTCATTAAATATCTCTGAGTATGGCAGTTAATTAGGCATGGTTCCTTCGGCAAGCAAAGCGAAGAAAATGCCCACACTAGTTGGATTAACGAGCTGATAAAAGTTGTAAGGATACGTCGGTTGGAAATCAATGTGGAAAGCCGAGAAAACGGTAAAGATCTCTCGTTTCAAAATAAATATGTGTCACATTCATTTTATTTAATTAGAAAATCTCTCATTTGATTTGTAGTGGCCACTATAGATAACAATATTACTTCCTAAACGGTGTATAGTTTAACTAAAACCTTGAATTGAAGTACTTCTTCATCGCTTTTGAATTACAGCTTAAAGTGTCAAAGAACATGGCCACTAGCGTCTGTTAATTTATAACCAAAATAATTTTAGTTTACAATCTACTAAAAACTACAGTAGGTATATCATCCTTTTAAGTCTAACTTAACAAGAAATGAAATTTAAACCCTCGATGTATAAATATATGTTCCGACTTATTTTTAATACGAATATTGTAAGTTATTTGTATAAAAAAACTATCTTGAATGTGTTGCTATTATAAAAAATATATAATGAATAAAAATAATTTATTGAAATGACACCCCTAGTTCGTGAACCTATTTGGGAGTTCGTAAGTTTCTATTCGAACTCACGAACTTTTTAATAGGACAAGCAATATTTGTATAGCTCTTTTAAATAGTCACAAATGTTTATTTAAATATATAAAGATATGCTTGTTGTGTTTTACCATTGTAATAATAACGCATAGATTATTATAATTGTTTTGCCTATCTAGTCAGTATTGTTGTTTTTAATTATTTAAAATTGTTACTTTATTAAAAGTTTCCATTATTAATGTAAAGCCCACTTGAGTCAAGAGTGAAAGGACATCGTTGCATTATGAATTTTTATACTTACTTTCAAGTAAAAAAAACATGGAAATTACTGCACTGACTTTAATTCAACTAAGTAGGTACGCGTATAAAGGTCTAAAACATTAATTGCCAAAATTAAACAAGTTGAAACAGTTTTACGAGATTTTAAGAATTGGTAAGAGAATAAAATTATGGGTTTCTGTTTTCTAAAATATTTATCGAAAACTCTCGTAAGTTGGTACTAATTTAGGCCATGATATATTGCGTATGAGTACTAAGTTTCATTAAAATTAGTTCAGTAGTTTTTGTGACTTCGAATATGGCAATATTCAACGTCAACCCAGAAACGGGCAATAAGGAAAGTCATGACAACTATCAGAAAAAAATAAAAAAAATGAGTCGTGTACTTTTAAAGTCACAAGAGTAAAAATCTAACCTACTTTTAAATTTAAAACTGAGACTAATTTACAGAAGGGTTATTAACGGTCACATTAATATTTGTAGCTACAGGCTTTGATAGATCACCCAGGATCACAGGGTAAGCTCAATAAGGTACCGCGGCCTCGGCCTAGAGCAGGAGAAGGGGTGGTTTTAGTCAGTAAAAGTCTGACACTCCCTCCCGCCTCATCCAGGGTCATTTGATTGTATTCTCTTAAAAAAAAACATTTTTTAAGATTTAGTTTTGCATCGTCTAACTTCAAAAGTACACGACAATAATTATTTTTCGATTTTTTCTGATAGCTGTTACAACTTGCCCTATTGCCCACTTTCGGTTTGACGTTGATTTTGTAGAACAACTTGTACCTATGAGACTTTACTCATAAAATAAAAAAGACGGTGGTAAAAGCGGGTATGAAAATGTTGGTTATCGTATATTCATCCGGAGTTGCGGGGTAAGCGCAATGAGGCACCGCGACCTCGGCCCAGAGCAGGAGAAGGAACGGGGGGTATTTAGTCAATAAGAGTCTGCCACTCTCTCGCGCCTTACCCTGGGCGGGAGAAGTCATTGGATGATTTTACACTGACAAAAAAAATGATATAATAATATTATGTTTAACGATGTCTCTTCTACTCCT